AGCAGGTGTTGTAGTTCCTCTTTGTTTTTCGAGACAAGATTTCTCTGTGTAGCTTTAGAGCCTATCCTGAAACTCACTCTGTAGATCAGGCAGTGCCGGGCTTAAAAAAGGTATGTGCCACCACTGCTCGGCTCTTTTAGTTATTCGTGACATGACTGTATAGGACATTGCGTTGGATTAAATTGGAAATGTTTAGTACTTTACAAATGGTTTATGTGACATTTGTATGTGTCTCTGTAATTTTGTATGTGTGTATGGAGAGGTGTATATGCAGGTGAGTACAGGAGCCCTTAAAGACCAAAAGCATCAAATGCCCTGGAGCTAGAGTTAGAGACCTGAGGCTATCTGACGTGGGTGTTGCAAGAGCAATAAGTGTTCTTAACCACTAAGCTGTTTTGCCAGCCCAGTGTTTTGACTAGTATTTGCTCATGATTAGATTGGTTGGAAGTAGTGTTTTTAGTTTAAGGAAAGTAATTTCTGTGTGAACTTTAAATTTCTTTATCAGGAGGTAACATAACAAAAATGTTGAATCATCCACCATTCCTCTAAAAGAAATTTAAACATCTATTTCTCTTTTCTATACTTGCATTTTGTTTTAAGATGGTGTTAATGGGGGCTGGAGAGATGGCTCAGTGGTTAAGAGCACTGACTGCTCTTCCAGAGGACCCAGGTTCAATTCCCAGCACCCACATGGCAGTTCACAACTGTCTGAAGATCCAGTTGCAAGGGATCTGTCAACTTTGCACCAATGCACATAAAATAAAGTTAAATAAACCATAAAATATTAAAAAAAAGATGGTGTTTATGTATGAATGGATTTTTTGTTAATTTCTTTTGAGATAAGGTCTTCTCTCAGTATATGTCACTGACTGGTGTGGTATTCTATACAGAGCCTAGGATGATCTTGAATTTGTATTAACTCAGTTTCAGCCTTTTGAATGTTGGGATTATAGTTGTGTTCTACTCTGCCAAGCTAGCAAGAGCCTGCTCTGCTTGCTTTATTTATTTATTTATTTATTTATTTATTTATTTTATATACAAACAATAGTCTGTGTGTATGTCTGCAGGCCAGAAGAGGGCACCAGACCTCTTTACAGATAGTTGTGAGCCACCACGTGGTTGCCAGGAATTGAACTCAGGACCTTTGGAAGAGCAGGCAATGCTCTTAACCACTGAGCCATCTCTCCAGCCCCTGCTTTCTTAATTTTTATTTTGTTTGCAGTTCTTGGAATTGAACCCAATTTTGTGCTTGCTAGAAGTGCTTTATCACTAAATCTTCATTTAAAACAAACGTTTTGGTAGTGGGAGCTTGTATTCGACGTAAAACTTTCGTTGCTACTCTGAGAACAGAAGCACAGCCAATGTTCTGAATTTCTGCAATTCTGTCCTGTTTTTGTTGTGACAGGGTCTACTTTGTAGCTGAATTTTATTGATATTCTGATGTGGAAGTAAATTCATATGGTATGAACCTAGTTCTAAATAGTAAATCACTTTTTTTCAAAAGCGCACACTGCTTCCCCACCATCAAGTGTAACTGGGATTGGAACTATAATAAGCGGGTCATGTGGGCCTGTTACTGTCTGTCCTAAGTCATCTTGATGTGAGAGAATAATGTTTTGAGTGTAGCATATTCATTAGTGTGTCTTGGGGAAGCACCTTCTTGTGATCTATGCTTCAGTGAAAAAAAAATTTTTTTATATAAACTTTAAAAAAAAAGTACCTTCTGTGTATTTTAACCATGAAATTGACTTGGCACTACTCATACTTCTACTTACAAACATGGAAAGAAGGTGAGCAAGTCAAGTGTATTGTGTGTTCTCACGGAGGTGACATTTTAGACTGGATACATGTACAAATTTGATTGCAGGATACCTTTAGTAGTTCTTACTCTGTTCTACACCTCCCCGCCCCCGATTTGTTGTTTTTTTTTAAGCTTATAGTCAGTCTTCCGTTTTCTTTCTCCTGTTTCTACCAGGCTAGCTGGCTGTGAGCTTCCTGGGAGCAGTTCTGTCTCTGCCTTTTATCTTATAACTTTACCAGGATCTGACTTTTTCTGTGGCTTTTAGGGACCCAAGCTCAGGTTATTAGGCTTGCACAGACAGCTAAGCCATCTCAACAGCCGCTTTTTTTCCCCCCAGTTACATTATTGTAACCATGTTTAACTTCTCAGGATGTTTGCTATGTTGTCTTAAAGTAGGTATACATTGGGTTTTACCTAATGGACATTGTTAGAACAATTTGTAATCAAAAACTTAATTTTTAGAGATAATACTGAGATACATGCCTAGTTAAAGAATGGGTATGTCACTTGACATTGTATCTTTTATAGTCTAATCAAAAAGAACTGAAAGTACAGTAAATAGCTTATTATAATTAGCTTTCAGGTGGCATACTTTTTTTTTACTTACACTTAAATTATGTGTATGTGTGTCAGGGGATGTACTCACAGGTGCAGGTGTTTAAGGAAGCCAAAGGTGTCAGATTCCCTGAAGCTGGAGTTACAGGTTATGAGCCACATGTCGTGGGTGCTGAGACTTGAACTTAAGTCCTCTGGAAAAACAGTACATGCTCTTAACCACTGAGCTGTTGTCTCTCAAGTGGCATACTTCTAATAGTATGTATAAAACTGAGAGTGATAGCACATGCTTATAATCGCAGTACTTGGGAGGCTAAAGCTGAAAGATGGCATGTTTGAGGTCAGTCTAAGCTACACAGTGGATTTCAGACTATTAGGGATTTTTTTTTTTTTAGTGGGACCTTGTTTCAAAATATATGTACATCAGTGTTTTCAGTGGAACCCAAAAGTTACTTAGTATTTGTTGGCCTTTAAATGAAAAAATACAAATGATGAATATAACTCTTTCTATGAATAATTCTGTCTACAGGGAAAAAGTATGCATTGATTTGTGGAAAGTTTATATGTATATATCTGGTATTTGAAATTAATTGAATGAAATTTTTATGTATACATTAGAAATTTAAGGTTATTAAGCATTATTTAAGGTTATTGTTTGTTGGCTTTTTTTATTTTGAGGTGGGATCTTACTATGTTGTCCTGGCTGTCTTAGAACTCAGTCTGTAGACCAAACTGGCCACAGACTCAAAGATCTGGCTATCTTGAACGTTGTGATTAAAGGCATGTGCCACTGTGCTTGGTTATTAAACCGAATAGGTTAGTGGATTAGTGTTATAAAAATTCCAGTGCCAGAGAGTTGTCATAGCTGGTAAAAGCACTCACTATGTATGCAAGCTTGTTTTACCACAGTCGAAGGAGGAAACTGATCTGAAAATTGTTCTATACATGTACATTTTGGCATGAGCATACCCACATTCATGCATGCACACAAATTTTAGTCAGATGAGGTGAGACATGCTTATTTCCAGCACTCGGGAGACTAAAGAAAGGATCTGAAGTTAGCCTAGGCCGCCCAAGTGAGAATTTGTATCAGAGATGGAAAAAAAAATTAAATGGAATGTAGAATGGTAAACACAAGGCATACCAAACTTAATTGTGTTAACCCTGCACCAGCTGCTTTGTTCTGCTTAGTACTTCTTTCTTTGTACTGCCTTACATAATGTATTTGACATATAGTGGTTGTTAGAAGTGGAGTTTTCCATTTTACAATAAGAGAACAAGACTGATTAGGTTATGTATTATGCTACAAGACCAGTAAATGACAAATCTGGTATTTCAGTTTTTTAAAACTTTAAAATGTGTTTTCTAATACAGTTATTGAAACACACGAAGCAAATGTTCTATTACTTTTTCCTTTTTGTTTGGAAGACAAGTCTCACTAAGTTGCCTAAGCTGTCCTTGAACTTCATCTGTAGTTAGCCATCAATTAGCTAGGATAAAGTGGTGGTGCACACCTTTAATCTCAGCGATATGAAGGCACAGGCAAGCTATAGAACAGTCAGGGATACACAGAGAAACCCTATTTCAACTTTAATGTTTGGTAGTTAAAAATGTTGCATTTTTTTAAATCAATAATACTACTCTTAACTTTATTGCTAAATACAAACTACCATTTTAGTTTATAGGTGCATTATCTAAAATTGAATTTTGCTTTTTTTTTTTTTTTTTTTTTTTTTTTTTTTTTTAAAGACAGGATCTTGCTATAAGTCCTGGCTGGCCTGGACCTTGTTCTCTAGATCAGGCCACCTCAAACTTTTGGTTATCCTCTTTTCTTTGTCTTTCAAGTGTAGGAATTATAGACAGGAGCTCTTGTGCTGGGTTTAGACTTTCATTTATGGTAAATCTTTATATTTGTTAAACTACCATAGTCTTAGGCATACTTTTTCAGTGTAGTGTAAATAGGGATTGAGACAAGTTGAGTACATGTATAGATTCCCTTGAGAATTTAACAATAGATTGCCGGGGCTGGAGAGATGGCTCAGTGGTTAAGAGCTCTGGCTGTTCTTCCAAAGGTCCTGAGTTCAATTCCCAGCAACCACATGGTGGCTCACAACCATCTGTAATGAGATTTGATGCCCTCTTCTGGCCTGCAGGGATACATGCAGGCAGAGCTCTGTATACATAATAAATACAATTAAAAAATATTTAACAATAGATTGCCTTATGTAGGTAGCATCCTTGAGTCTTATAAAATTGCAACCTTTGTGTGTGAAGCCAGATCCTCATTGCTGAAGGAACTAGTTAGTCTAGGTAAGTCTTAATTTTTCTTCAGTGAGTTAAAAACATTATTTGTGTCTGTCTGTGTATACACATGTACACATGGTTATGCAAGGAAGGGTAGACAACTTTTTATGAGGATTAATCTAAGGACCCAACTCAGTTGTCAGGTCTGTGCTGTAAGCACTTTCACCTGTTGGGCTGTCGGGACAGTTGGTCATCTTCAGTGAGTTTTAATAACTCTTGCATGTCATAATGTAACTTTTGATGCCTTTTGTTCATTTGAAGTTAGATATAAAATGAAAACCAGAAAAATGTACATTTATGATAGAATAATCTTACAGTACCTTTTTTTTTTAATTTTTAGCACTTTTCCAGTCATTAACTCCAGGCTCTAGAGAATTTGAAGATGTTTTAAATATTCTCCATTCATCTTACCTTGAGCAATCCTCAGTAACACATTTTAACTATAGAAGAGCTTGCTTGATACATAATGAACTTTTGGAAAAAGAGGTATGTATTTAGCCTGTGGAAGAAATCCTTTTTAAGTTTTTGAAATGATTTCTTTGTAGTGCTAGGAATTAAACCCCTGGGTTGAACTCATGCTAAGTAAATGTTCTATCCTGAGATATATCCCCTCCTAAATTGTATCTCTTTTATTGCTGTACTGTGTTTATCTGCTGTGTTAAATTGTTACTAGTGTGTAGTTATGCATAATCCTGAAATTTAGTCATCCATATAGGGATAGCTTACTATAAGAGTACTTACTTGTAGATCGACAAGTTTTTTCCTCTTTTATATGTGTTAATTAAATGTCAACATTGAAAGATAATAAGATTTAATGTGTTAAATAATCCTTTTTTCTTTTTCTAAAAATGCTGGCTTTGTTGTTAATTTTAGTGAAATTTTTTTTTTCTTGTGGATTCAAACAATTTCTTTTAAAAGATTGGGTCTTATGCTAGTTGAGAATGGTCAGGTTGGCCTTGAATTTGAAGTAATCCTCCTGTATCAGATTTCCAAGTGTAAGCAGGTCTCCCCCCATAGAAATTCTTACTGTAAAAGTATATACTAAGGGCAACTGTTGACAATGAATCCTAATTTCACATACAACTTATATGTTTTTTGAGTTTAATATAGGAAACCAGCATGTATAATTCTGATATAACACACAAATGAAATTTTAGAATGTTTAATATTTAATGCTTTCTAATGGATGTGAAATACTGCAAAGTCTGGTTTTATATCAGCTAGTATGCTACAAAATTTAACTTTGAATATCTTCCTGAAAGGCACTGTTACTAGTTCTCAAAAAAATAAACATTTGGTAGTTTGATGTGGTTTCATGGTATAGTAGGGATTATTTGTTAATTGTATAAGGAAATTTTATCTGAAGTTACAGTATATGGTTGAAGAGGTAACCTGAATACAAATACAAAATGCTTGCTATTCTAAGTAGATAATCTGTTTGAATCTAAAAGTAAACCCAGCAGTTTAGATTACTTGATGAATATGGAGCATACTGTTAGAATACCAAACAGAGGCTGGCCTCGAACTCAAAGGGATCTTCCTGTTTCAGCCTCTAGACTGCTGGCTTTCCAAGTGCCACTATGCCTATTTAAATTAATTCAACCACCTGTTATGTCCAGTATACCATGTTAAATGAGAAATAAAAGATAGCAAAACATCAATTTATAATCTTTGAGGAGATGGGGGAATAGTAAATATTTAATAGAAAATTGGCTAAAATTGGTAAGTACTAGATACTTTGGACTATTTTATATGGGGGATTAAAAATGGGAAGAAATAAAATCAAATTGAACATTGAATAGCAGAAAACATTGAAAGATATTTTGATAGGTTTGAGATTTCTTAGAAAAATTTCTTTAAGGTTAATGAAACAATCATGCTAAGATAGATGAATTTCTTTTAGTTTACAGAAAAGAGAAGAGAACTGAAGTTTGATGGTAGATTGGATAAGGAACTTTCAGAATCTTACGCATTTCTCATGGTTGATCGATACCAGGTGAGATAGTTCTGTTTCATTGTAAGTCACGAGTTTCGCTATCATTCAACAATACATTTTGATAAGCATGAGGTAACTTTTTTTCCGAGAGAGAGAGAGAGAGAGAGAGAGAGAATATATATATGTTGAACTCAGGTTGTAAATATTGGTGGTAGATTCCTTTACCTACTAAGCCCTCTTACCTAATCTTTGTTTATTCCTTATGATTTATCTTATTTTTAATAAAGTGTATGGTACGTGAACATGAGTTTGGATGTGTATTGGCTCTCCTGGAGTAAGAGTTACAGTAGTGAGCTGTAATACAAGCAGTGGTGAGCTGCCTGACATGAGTGCTGGGACTTCAGTTTGAGTTCTCTGTGCGCTCTTAAGCAGAGGCCTCTTTCCAGGCCTTGTTTTTTTTTTTGTTTGTTTTTGTTTTTGTTTTTATGAGCTATATAGATCAGGTTGGCCTTGACCTTGGGAGCATCTTGCTGCTAGTCACCTGTGGTTACAGGCATTCACTGTAAGATAACATTTTTATTGGCATATGAGTAGAAGAAATGATTCAGAGGGCAGATTATATGTTTTATAATTTCTTTTTCAAATGTGGTCATTGTTTCTCTGATCAGTTTCATTCTGTTTCTTCTCTTAATCAAGAGCATGCTTGATTAAACACTTTCTCTTAGGAAAACAAAATTCTCTCTGTCTGTCTCTCTTGTCTCTGTCTCTCTCCATATATATAAAACTATTTTTATATAGTTATATATATATAGTTATTGTTTTTGGTTTTTTGAGACAGGGTTTCTCTGTAGCTTTGGAGCCTATCCTGGAACTACCTGTTGTAGACCAGGCTGGCCTCGAACTCAAAGAGATCTGCCTACCTCTGCCACCTGAGTGCTGGAATTAAAGTGTGCATTACCACCACCCGGCTTCATATATATTCTTTTTTTTTTTTTTAAGATTTATTTATTGGGGGCTGGAGAGATGGCTCAGTGGTTAAGAGCACTGACTGCTCTTCCAGAGGACCCGGGTTCAATTCCCAGCACCCACATGGCAGCTCACAACTGTCTGAAGATCAGTTCCAGGGGATCTGACACTTCACACCAATGCACATAAAATAAAGTTAAATAAACCATAAACATAATAAAAAGAAAAAAAAAGATTTATTTATTATGTATAGTGTTCTGCCTGCATGTACACCTGGAGGCCAGAAGAGGGCACCAGATCTCATTACAGATGGTTATGAGCCACCATGTGGTTGCTGGGAATTGAACTCAGAACCTTTGGCAGAACAGTCAGTGCTCTTAACAGCTGAACCATCTCTCTAGCCCCTTCATATGTATTTTTATAGCCATTTTCCCCCTTTAATTAACACTAGTGATTAACTTTCTCTTTACTTGGGGCTGGAGAGGTGATTCAGAGATTAAGAGTATTTGCTGCTCTTCAAGAGGACCTGAGTTCAATTCCCAGCACAAGTGCTTGTAACTCCAGCTCCAGAGAATCCACTGCCCCTTTCTGGTGTTTGAGGGCACTGCACAGACAAATACATATTGTTCATAAATAAGAGTATTAAAAATAAATCTTAAAAAATATTTAACTATTTTTGTGTCTTATTTCCTTTTTGTGAGAATATCTGCTACAAGTAGCATAGATCAGGATAAGTTTCTGATAGGATTACCTAAGAAATTTAAACAAGTTTTACATTAAATCTCACTATTTAACTGAAATGTATTGTGAAATTTTTGTAATGTATAGTTTGGAAGATTAGTTTTTGAAATTTTACAAATTATTTTTTCTTGTTATGATTTCAAACTGAAATGTTTCATTTACTTAGGTTCAAAGCATATGTGAAAAAGGATTGCAAGTGGGCCAGTCCAAAATAACCATTCTTGGCAGTCCTTCTATGGGTAATTATTTTGGTTTTTTTGCTTTTGTTTTTCATTTATTGACTGCTATTAGTCGCCACTTAAAACTCTCAGTGTGATCTGCCTATAGTAACTGTTTATAACGAGACCAAGTTCTGAAATGTAATGCTGATTTTATTTCTTCGTTTCTTAGTTTTGCATACTTCTGATTGGTCAAATACTATGATTTAAAATGTTTCATTCTGGTCAAAATGATTTTTGAAAAATGTGATTAATTTCCTGTTTTACTCTGGTTTAAGCATCAGCCTTCTTTGCTGTCTTTAGTATTTCTCTTTTAAAAATTTGGCATATCTCCTATCCCTATTATTATTCGTTAAATATTTTGATTTAAAAAAACCTAATCAAATTATTTTTCTCTTTCTGCTAGGTGTCTATCTGTGTAGATATGCAGATCTCTTACAGGCTAATCCTTTGGAAGTTGGGGCAGTGGGAGATGTTGTTATTTTTAAAATAATGAAGGTAATTTTAAAATTTTAATTTTTATTTGTATATATCAAAGATAGCATTTAACTTGGACTTCAATTTTAAGTGATCTCATGACTTTAGGAGTTTGAATTAAAAGTCTTTATTTGGTGGTATATGAAGATACTTGAGAATTTTATGTTTTGAGACAGGGTTTCTCTGTAACAGCCCTAGCTGTCCTGGAACTCATTCTGTAGACCAGGATGGCCTTGGACTCACTGCCAGTTTAATGTATGTGGGGAGTGAACAAGCCATAGGATGCGCGTGAAGATTAGAGGAAGACTTGGGGGGGGGGTGGTGGAGTTAGTTCTTCCTGCAACCTTGTGGGACCTGAGAGTCAAATTCAGGTCATCAGGCTATGGTGTGTTTACCTACTGAACTGTCTCACTGGCCCTCTTTGTCTTTCTCACTAATGTGCACACACACACACACACACACACACACCACATTTAAACTGTTTCCAAAGAGAATAACATGTTGGTAATGTAAGTAGGTGAGCAGTTGAATAGCACCTCATTATGATAGTATATAGTAAAAATAAGGTTAAATATATACTTAAAATGTTTTGTTTATTTTAGGGTAAAATAAAGAGTATTTATGATCCTCTGAGTGTAAAAAGCTTGGAGCCTGTGTTAAATAAAAATGCGTTGGATCCTACACCAAAGCATGAATGTCATGTGTCTAAAAATGCCAGTAGAATTACGTCCCTTTTGGCTTACAGAGCCTATGAACTTACTCAGGTATGTACTTGGATCCAGTTTAGTGTGAAAGATTTATTATTGTATTTATGTGTGTGTCTGTCTTCCAGTGTGTGCAAACAGGTGCTTGCACTTGTAGGTGTTGTACGCCGAAGAAAAAGGTAACAGATCAGAGCTGGAGTCACAGGATATTCACCTGGCTTGTAAAGACAGTCCTGGGGTCCAAACTCTGGTCCTCATGATCAAGCAAGCACTTTAGCTGCTGACCCGTTTCTCTCTAGCATCACCTTATTATATCCTGAAATGCCTGCATTTCACAACCCTAGAAAGATCTTTACTTGTTTTGTTTTTGTTTTTTGTTTGTTTTTTTTCGAGGCAGGGTTTCTCTGTAACTTTGGAGCCTATCCTGGAAACAGGGTTTCTCTGTAACTTTGGAGCCTATCCTGGAACTCACTTTGTAGACCAGGCTGGCCTCAAGCTCACAGACGTGCCTCTGCCCTCCTGAATGCTGGGATTAAAGGCATCTTCCACCACCGCCCGGCTCCCTAAAAATATCGTATTGGTGAATAAAATACCATTTGCTTTTCAAAGTAAATGTCAAGCTCCTTGACTATCTTAGTTCATAAAACTTTGTTCTTTTGATATTACAATTCAGACTTAGAGTATATTTTTAAGCTTTACCAGATAATAGAAAACTGTACAAGCTTTGTTCTCTGCTTTTCTTAAAAAAAAAAAAAAATTCGCCGGGCAGTGATGGCACATGCCTTTAATCCCAGCACTCTGGAGACAGAGGCAGGTGGAGGCCAGCCTGGTCTACAAGAGCTAGCTCCATGACAAAGCTACAGAGAAACCCTGTCTCAAAAAAAAAAATCTTTGAGACAAGGTCTCAATATGTATCTCTTAACTCTTTATGTAGTTCAGGCTGGCTTTGAACTCACAAAGATCTGCCTCATGCTGGCATTAAAGCTATGTACTGATGTCAGCTTTTTGTTGAGAAGTTTGTTTTGAAACAGGGTCTCATTGTGTAGTCTTTGGCAGCTTAAAACTTACTAGGTAGACTGTACTGGCCTCAAATTCATTGAGGGATCTTCCTTGCCTCCTAAATGCTTGGATTAAAGGTTTGTGCCGTTACACTAGGCTATTTTCTCTTTCTTTTTTTTTTTCTTATCTTTTCTTTTTTGATATAGGGTCTTATGTAGGTTCAGCTTGGTCTCAAACTTAGCAAGTATCAATTATTTGCAACTGTCTTCTTAGTTAGGGGTGGTACTTTGTGTCTACTTCCCCTTCTTCATGCTGGGATTTTTATATGCTTTGAACTTGTGTAGGTCCGGTGTGGTGAGTTCATATGTTTATTAGTCCTGTTCTGGCTAGATTATGCTGTTTCCTTGGAGTCATGTACCATGTCTGGCTCTTGTAATCTTTCTGCCTCCTCTTTGCATTGATCCTGAGCCTTGAGTGGGGAAGAGTTTGATAAAGACATTTTTATTTAGTACCGAGTGCTACAATGTATCTCTCTCCACACATTTTCCAGTTGTAGGTCTCTGTTACCTACTACAAGAAGCTTATTTTGTGAGGGTTGAGTGATGCACTGATTTATGGGTATAACCATATGTCATTAGGAATCATTTTATTAATGTGTTTGTTTAGCAGAGTAATAGTAGTACGTTTTCCACTAGGGCCAATGACTTATTTAGTCTTAGGTTCTTAGCAGTGAGAGGGTTCCATCTCATGGAGTGTACCTTAATCCAATCCAAGTGCTAGTGCAATTGTGGTTCAAATGTTATTAACCAAATATCTTTCAAGCAAATTGCTGTTGTAGGTCAAAGTTTATAGCAGATTAATACTGATGATTGATTTTCTCTGGTAGCGTGTCCTTTCCAGCACCATGAATAGTTTGGGTACCAGCCCAGTTTCTGCATGTTTAATTGACATAATATCTTCAGCAGTAGGGCCTTATCAGGTTGTAGAGGGTAACCAGTAAACTTGGCAGTAACCTGTGTTGGTGGGTTTGTGGTAGGTACCTCTTTGGCCAACAGCTCAACAAGATGTAACCCGTTATTGGCCCTGAGGGTTTTTACTTGGTAGTGTAAGATATCTAGTTGTGGACATTGTTCTCTTGTATTATATGGTGATATATGGTGAGCCTAGAAATAATCTTCAAAATTTTTGTTGGGGCTGGACAGGCGGCAGGTAAATCAGAAAGGTCATTGGCTAGTCTTCCAAAGGACCTGAATGTTATGGTTGATAGTTGACACATGTCTGTAACTCCTGTTCCAAGGGACCAGATGCCTTCTGGCTTCCTCAGGCACCAGGGTAGACCTCTATATAGGCAAATGCTCAGAAGCATAAAATAATAACAAAAGCTTTCTGCAGTATTTGTGAAAAATAGTTTGTTGACTCCTTGTTGAAGTGTCTTAGTGGAGACCTATGACTGGGGGTTTTAACCAAAATTTTATTCATGAAAGGCATTAGGAGCTTCCTCAGTTCACTATTTTTGATGATATGTTGTTGGTAGACTTGAAATATAGTTAGTAACTGGGTTTTCTAGCACTTATAAACAAGAGCTTTAGATTAAAAAAATGTTTTGGAAGAATTTTGAAACGTTATTGAAATTAGTAATTTCCCAGGAAAAAGGACTTGATTATAGACTCAGGCCTTCTTTCTCAGTTTTCTGCAGTCAGAAAACTCCAGCATTGATGACTAGAGGGGAAGGGCAGAGGCTTGTGAGTGAGAAAGTAATCAACTTGACTTTTATATTTACAGTCTTTTGCACTAACAGAAAATGATACTTAATATTGGCTGAAATTTTGTCCTTAGTATTTTACTTTTTGTTTTTTTTTTTTAAGTCAGGGTTTCTCTTTATATAACAGTCCTGAAACTAGATCTTGTAGATGATGCTGGCCTCGGACTCAGAGAGATCCGCCTGCCTCTGCTTCCTGGCAGTATTTTACTTTTTTAATCAAGTTGACTTCTGGGCTGACCTAGCTTAGACTCCATTGTATAGTATTTTCATTAGAAAGTTAATCGCACATTCCTGTTGTCATCGCTCCAGAAGTAAACTTAAGGAATACCTTTGTTATCTGGTATATAGAATGCATAGAAAGTACCAATTTTTTGTTTCGGTGAAGTAGATGAACTCAAGCCTTTCCTGCCTGAGCTGCTTAGGTGGTACTTATGTTTCTTAATAAAATATCTTCTTTATTACCTATTCTGAAATGTTAATTTTGTGCTTTCTTATTTTTAGTATTATTTTTATGAGTATGGCTTTGATGAACTAAAACAAAGACCAAGACATGTTTGTCCATATGCAGTTGTGTCTTTTACTTACAAAGATGATAAACAGACGGCAAAGTTTATGTCTTCACTGAGGTAAGACAAGTTTACACAGAAAAATACTTCAGAAGTTATCATTGTCCTCTTCAACTTTTTTGACCTTATCTAGATAGGAACTAAAATGTGCTTTTATTTACCTAGCAACTGAATTGTGGGGCTCCCCCTTCCACTCACTCCCCCCCCCTTCCTTCCTGTTTTTTGTTTATTTGGGTTTTTTTTTTGAAGGTTTATCTGTACTTTAATAAATAGCAGTTTTGAAAAGTGAAATTTTAACTGGTTATGTGGTATATGCTTGTACTACCAGCACTTGGGACATAGAGGTCAGCCGTGGCTGTCCAGTGAGTTTGGAGCCATCTTTACTACGTGAGTCCCTGCCTTCCCCAAACAGAAATTTTGTGTTTTTAGCTCTCTTACAATCGAGTTTCTATAAAGCTTTCTCCCAGAGAAATGAAATATTTAATGGAATACCTAGACATTCCTAGTCTTAAGATTCAGGTGATATTTTCTTTTGAGTTCATAAACATAAAGTAACTTCTCAAACTGTCTAAAAAACAAACAAATATATCTTTATAGGGTGACCTCTGTTGTCTTTTAAAGTCAAATGCACTTGATAAAGAACACTCTGGTTGTTTTGTTTGTTTTTCTTTTTGGAGCTAGAGTTGTCTTGTATTCTATAGCCCAGGCAGGCCTGGAGCTTACTATTGATAGAACTCAGGTTTAAGATTGAGAAGATCCTGCCTCAGCCTCTTGAGCATTGGTATGAGCTACCAGTTCCTTCCTATTGATACAGTACTTTTTTTTTTTCCCCGTATTTAGTGAGACCTCAAAACCTCTACAAGTACCAGTTCATATAATGCAGAGTTGGGTTTCTCCTTTTGCTTCATATATATGAATGCTGACATAACACATTTATTATAGTATTTTTTGATAGATGATCTTTAAAAGACATAACCACTTACAATTATGAAAGTCATATTCCTGAAAGTATTAACTATCCCCCTTTCATCTTCTATGTGTGTGTGTGTGTGTCTGTCTGTCTGTCTGTCTTTTGGTAAAGTCTATGTAGTCATGGCTGTCTTGCAACTTGCTAAGTAGACCAGACTGGTCTCAGACTTACAAAGATCCACCTTCCTCTGCCTCCTGAATGTTGCCTGGCTCTTTTCCTACTTTGTTGAATCCCTTCTGTTGACCCCCAGATTGATTCAGACAAACATTGATGAGACATCCACCCTATGCTCTGAGTGTGCCATGAGTACCCTTGCGTTGGGACCCACTCTTACTGCTATTCCTTTTCCCCAGTTCCTGCATAGCTGTTTTTTTATGTTTCCTCTAGCCTTTCCTATCATTGGATGTTCTTTTGAGGTTTGTTTGTTTGTTTGTTTATTTATTTTTAATATAAACTCTTGTACTTGATCTTTTTTGTGTAGCTCTTGAAATCATAATCTAATAAACTATACTTGTTGATAATTACCTTTCTTCATCATTAGATTGTAATTTGTTTGAAATAGGGACTGTCTTCTGTTTATACTTAGAATTCTGTTACCTAGAATTATGCCTAATAAATAATAAGAGCTTAAATATTTGTTAAATGGCTAAGGATGTATTTGTATAGAAAGGCCGTTTTTTTCTAATCGTATTTTCAATATATATATCTTGAAATATATATATGTATATATAGTTGACAAAGGTATTAATAGTCTTCTGTCTGTAAATGGATAAATATAAAACAGCTTTCATAAATTTTGGCAAGCCTGTAATAGAACAGTAAACACTTCTTAAAGAATTAAGTTTACTTATTTTGTAAAGAATAAGTTTTCTTACTTGCAAGAATTTTGTTCTTTTCTGTAGTTCCATTGGAAATGACACTCACAGGCTGGTGCTTTAGTTCAGTTAAAATTGCTTGCTGTACGTGTGAGGTTCTAGGTTCCATCCCCAGTCCTGAAAAATACAACAGCACCAACAAAAACACAGAAAGTATGTCAGGGTCCTAAATGTTAACTTTCATGTTGCTTCCAATCAGTAATAATTTTCCTTTCTTTTTAAAAAATTATTTGTAGATCTAACAGCTTTAATGCAGATAGAAACATAGGTAAGAGTCTTATTTTTTTTTACTTTTATAAGTTGAAAGTATAAACAGTGAAAAATTAATAAGTTCAGTATTTTTTATTTTCATAATAATATGAAATATAAAATAAGTGAGGTCATGTTATATATAGCATCAGTATTTGGTCATTTAAACATAAGGAGTCTTTTTAAAATATGCTACTGCTTCTGAAGATGGACCAGAATTTCTAGCATTTTAAATTGATAAAAAAAGATAAATTACAATTGAACACTTTAAAAGCGTTGTATTCACCAGAGGTTTTTGATTTTGATGACGAAGATTGAAATCAATGCTGCCTTTTAAGTTTCTTTATCACAAAAGAGAGGAGATATTAACCAGGTTTAATACAGTCTCCTTTGGGACAGTGACTACATTGTTTGTGTTGCTTTCTAATGAGGGGACTCATTGGAAAGTTGGAATAGTTTTTTGAAGTTGGTTCATTGGTTAGGGTTAGGGCTAGGAATGGTTCATTGAAGTTGGAATGGTTTCTGTTAAAGGGAAAAGATAACTGAACCTAAAATCTTAGCATTGTGAAGCTTTCCCTGATGGATATGTCACTTCTGTGTTGATTTTGTACTTAATTCTTATTTCTAGATAATTTTCATTTCTAATAAGTATTTACCTTCTGGGCTATCAAGCAACTGGGCTCTTATTTCTTGTGTTTAGAAAGAGTTTACTACACACTGTGGAAAGGACAACTTTTAAATAAAGGAAAGCTTCTGTGTTACATTTCTTTGAGGTCAGCCACTCGTGCCTTTTTGCCTATCAAGCTGTAAGTATATAACATTAAAATAAAATAGTGAGGAAGGGCAGAGGGAGGATCATAAGGAAGGGGAATAAATAACAAAGTATAATGACATTTAACCCTTTATTTCATATAGCGAGGCTAAAAATTAACTTAAAAATTAAAAAGAAAATAGTATTTGGCAGTTAAGGAGACTGAGTTTTAGTTTTTTGATTGTTTTTAAAAAAATTTCAGTTTATCTTATTCTGGATTGGAATTCACGATATAGCTCAGGCAGTCTTTCTTGTTTCAACTTCGTGTGTGATAGGGCTATAATTATATACCACCATTCCTGGGTTGCTAGCCATTTATTTTTTTCAATATTAAATTTTACTGTGGTCTATAAAAACTTAAACATAAATGTTAATGTGTTTCTAAAATGGTTGTAACTTCAGAAAGTTAATTGACAAACAAGCTCTGATTCTCAACTTTGAATACTAGTAAAATGGATAGTCTATTCTAAATGGTTGTAAGTCTAAAAGACTTAAAATTTTATTCTACTTAGATTTTTTTTAAAGCAGCTTGTATGTAATAGACTTAAGAGTTGGCCATTTTTAGCTGTGTGTGGTGGAACATACTTGTAATCTCAGTACATGGGAGGCTCAAGCAGAAGATTTTGAGTTCAAAGACATTGTTGGCTGCTTAGTGAGCTCTAGACTTCTGTGCTGCAGACCCTGATGAAAGTCTGCTTCAAAACAGAAGAGGGGTGGTAGTGGCTAACACTTGTTTGTTGAAAAGAGCTTTGATGTGGTAAATTAATATACATACACAGTTTATAATTCGTATAGCATGTTAGGATTAAAAGTTTACTTATTAATATGCAGAAAATGGTGTAAATGCTTGAAGATAAAGGTCAGTGGTAGAATGCTTGCCTGCCATACAACTCTTGGGTTTGATCTTCAGCATCTCCTAAAGAAGAGAATTATGCCAGCTCATACTATAACAGTAAATAACTATTCTTTTTATTAGTAAACTTGGCATGTAGGATTAGCTTCTGATTTAAGGATGTAATGTTGGTAGTATTGCCAGTTGCTACTTACTTGAGTGTAGATACCTGACCTTCTTGTGTCAGGTATCTCTCTTTTTTTTTTTTTGGTTTTTCTTTTTTTTTTTTTTCTATTCACATTTATTTGGTGAACTCAAAGCTAAGGCAAACAATTATCAAAACACAAAGAAAATACAGGACATCATTCATTCTGTCCACATCCAGTACCTTTTAAAAACCAGTATCTTTACTCTCCTGTCTAGAAACAGCGATGTCATGACGTCCTCTGAAGCTGATTACTTTTACAACACTTCCTTATAAGCTAAAGATATAGACGCCCAAGGCAGTTTGAGTTTTGGGTACATTCTTTATGTGCATAGAGGTGGGCAGAGGACAACTTGCTGAGTAGTAGTCTTTTCATCATGTGGGTTTTTTTGGTTTTTCGAGACAGGGTTTCTCTGTGGTTTTGGAGCCTGTCCTGGAACTAGCTCTTGTAGACCAGGCTGGTCTCGAACTCACAGAGATCCGCCTGCCTCTGCCTCCCGAGTACTGGGATTAAAGGCGTGCGCCACCACCGCCCGGCCTCAGGTATCTCTTTAGAATAAGGTTAAACTATTATTAATAAATGCATACATTACCCATCAGGTGTATTTTATTTTGTTGACCTTCTGGTAAGGTCTCAGGTAGCAGCTGGTTACAAGTTCACTGTGTAGCAGAGGATGACTTTGAACCTGTGATCCTCTTGCCCTCTACACCTCCCAGATGCTGGCATTACAGGATGCGTCACCATACCTGTTTTATGTGATACTGGAGAGTGAGCTCAGGGCCTTTTATATGTTAGGCAAGCACTGAACCAATTGAATTGCATTCCCAGCCTGTATCTTATTAAGTGTATATATTAATATGTCTGATAACATTGCTAGAGTTAAAAATGCAGGTATGCCAAACATGCTCTTATGTTTTCTTTCAGTCCTGAAAAGTTAGATGTTGAAACAGTAATGAGTATTGATTGTTTGAAACAGAAAATTCCTTCTGCATTGTTTAATAAAGACACATACTTGGGTCCTACTGAAGGTAAAGTAATTTCATTTTACTTAAATATGTAAGAAGCAGACCTGATTTGATGTTTTACTGTGTATTTTTTCTTTGTGTTAGTTTTAAAGAATGGGATGTATTGTAGCCTTTATGAAGTTGTAGAAAAGACAAGAATTGGAAGTAACATGGAGTGTTTACTGCAAAAACTGGAGAAAGAAAAACTTGTGAGTGAAAAGTTTTAAATATTTCCATTATCCCTTAAAAGTAATATATTCATAAGTTATCGTTAATATTTCAATTTATTTTTGACACTGAAAGTCCTGCAAGGTCTCTTTTGGGTATTTTACTATTAGTACTTTTTTTCTTTGGAGACAAGCTCTTGCTATGTGGTCTTGGCTGGCCTGGATTTCTGTATAAGTAGATATAATACTCTTGGTTTTCAGTAAACTTTCTGTAGATCCATTTTTATTATATATTGTGATTATAAATGTATTGTCAAATATTCATGGGATACTGAATGAGACAGACTATAGCATTTATTTCAAAAAGATGTGTTTTTACTTTATGTGTTTGTTTACATGCATGTATGTATGTAAACTGTGTGCATACTTAATGCCTGTGGATGCCAGAAAAGGGCATCAGATCTGGTGGAACGCAGGTTACAGGTGGTTGTGTAACTTATGCTGGGAATCAAACCTAATTCTCCACAAGAGTAGGTGCTCCTAACTGCTGAGCCATTTACAGATTCAAAAGAACAAGATAATCTGGTGAATGTTTAAAAGGGACAAAAAAATTTAACCATCTGAGAGGAAAAAGTAGGGAGCTATATCCTTCAGTGTCTTTGAGCCAGTATGGGCATGGGAATTTGGATTTTGTCCTGAGAACTGTAGCTTTTGATGTATTTAGAGAATAGGGATCAGGCCTTGAGTATGTATACATTAGCTTTCCTTTATCTGTCTGTCTGTCTATTTGCTTTCTTATTTCTAATTTAATTGTACTGTAATCTAAACAGATGTTTTTCAGATAAGTCCCAAGTGGTCACTTTTTGTACATGTCCTCTGTTTATAAATACATATTCCATAATGGTTGAATGCTAGATACATAATTCAGGGTTGACAATATTTATTTATTTTGAAAAAAATGGATTTTACTAAGAAATTTTTTTTCATTTGTTTCCAAACATAGTCTTGCCTGTTGTTCATTATGTAGACCAGGCTAACCTTGAACTCATATGACCTTTCTCTGCTTCTCGCTATCAAAGGCTGTGATTAGTGGCACTAATCCAAAAGAAGGGTTTGATGTGGGTACAAGGTGTTTATTTTGCTGCTGTTAGGATTTTTAGAGCTTATCTGATCCCCTTAACCCCCACAGTACGGAACATGGAATCTGGAACTTCAGATACGCTAGACCACGGACTACTTCCACAAAGCTATAATTCCCAGCCCTTTTTTCTTTTATATTTTGAGAAAGTATCTGTCTGAGTTTTCCAGGCTGCCCTTGAACTTGTGATCCACTTATATCAGCCTCTCAAGAACTGAGATTGCAGGCCTGTGCCCTCAGATCAGGCTTTCTGGTTGCTTTTTAGGTTTTTCTTCTCCTTTCCTTGCCTCTCCGTTTTCGTTCTCTTCTCTCACAGTCTCTTCGCGGTTGGGGCCTACCCCTTCCTCTCTTCTCCCCCCCCCCCCCCCCCCCCCCCCCCCGTTCTAGTGTGTGTGTGTGTGTGTGTGTTTTGCAATCACAGTATCTAGGTACTAATTTCTTTTTCTTTTTTTTTTTTGAGATGGGGTTTCTTTTTTTAACAGCTCTGGTTGTCCTGGAACTCACTCTGTAGACCAGGCTAACCTCAAACTCACAGAGATATACCTGCTTCTGCCTCCCGAGTGCTGGGATTAAAGGTGTGTGCCACCACCACCCAGCCGGTATTAATTTCTTACATATCCACTGTGGTTTTGTTTTTTGCTATTGTTGTTTTTTTTTTCCTTGTCTGAATTTCTGGAGAGATTGCTAGTTCTATTTCTGGTTATACGTCTCCTTCGTTCTCTGTAGTCTTTATGAGCAGGAAAAGGAGTATGTCAGACTTTGGTTTCATATTTGTTAATTCCTGTGTTTTCTGCTTACCTTATTTATTTATTTATTGGCTAGGGGTGTCGGGGCAGGTTGAGACAGGCTTTCCCTGTATAATAGCCTTGGCTGTCATGGAACTAGCTCTTGTAGACCAAGCTGGCCTCGAACTCATAGAGATCTGCCTGCCTATGCCTCCTGAGTGCTGGAATTAAAGGCATGTGCCAACACACCCTGCTGATTTTTTTTTAAATATTTATTTATTTATTATGTATACAATATTCTGTCATTGTGTATGCCTGCAGGCCAGAAGACCCCATTACAGGTGGTTGTGAGCCACCATGTGGTTGCTGGGAATTGAACTCAGGACCTTTGGAAGAGCAGGCAATGCTCTTAACCTCTGAGCCATCTCTCCAGCCCCCCTGATTTTTTATTTTATTTTATTTTTTTGGTTTTTTCAAGACAGGGTTTCTCTGTGGCTTTGGAGCCTGTCCTGGAACTAGCTCTTGTAGACCAGGCTGGCCTCAAACTCACAGAGATCCGCCTGCTTCTGCCTCCCAAGTGCTGGGATTAAAGACGTGCGCCACCATCGCCCACCGCCCGGCTTTCTTTCTTTCTTTTTTTTTTTTTTTTTTTTTTACACCCTGCTGATTTTAATGGTTCTTTATAGTCTGTAAACTATTAAGTTTGTGGGATTTGTAAAATGCGATATTATATTTGGAGTGAGTGTGATGTTAAAGGCAGGTGTTTTCCTCAGTGCGCACAGATTCATTATGCCCAGGACTTGAGGACACTATTAAGGAAAGGCATATGATGTTTTTGGAACATTTTAGATCAAAGTTTTTAGATCTGAAGTAATCTTGCACATACATTGTCTATGTGTGTATTGTGAGATATGTGTGTCTGGCTTTAAAGATTAATGGTAATTATAAGGCCAACTTAAGCGTCTTGAAATTTATGCTACGTGTATGTCACTTATCAGTATGATGTGGTCTGGCCTGATGGTTTCCAGGAGACAAAAAAAAAAAAAAGGGCCACTTCAGGGTATATGTAACTTTTATTTTTGTTAAAATGAAAATCTTACTCTTGGTATAAGCTTCCTTTGTATCAGAAACATCTGGTGACTGACCTATACTGAGTGTAATTTTATTATTATTATTTTAAAGGGAAATATCCCTGAGTTTCATGAACGTTCTCTAGATTGGGATCTTCCTGGATCATTGATCTTCTGGACTCTCACCCTTGCCCCTAGTTTTGGCTTATTCAAGTCTTAGTCTAAAAGAGCCATGCTAGAGCACTAGACAGTTGTTTTTAATAGATTGGATTAAAGAGGAGAAGTTATCCTGGGGAAGTTGGCTCACTTGGAACCTCCAAACATGATATCACTACTTTTACAGTGTTTTTGTTAGTACAATCACTTTTTATCTTCAATGTTAATAGCAATTTAGGCAGCACAATTTTCACAGTACAAATATCCTTTTCTGTTCATTCCATCCTTGAATCCAGAAGCTAAATAAAAATAAAAAATGCTGTATGTTAGATTGTTTTATTTTCCTCTGACACAGTGCCCTTGGTCTTCTTTGTCACTGTGACCAGAGGAAGGATTTACAAGAGTATGCACACTAAGATGTCCTGGCTACATCGGAACTCTTATTTTCTTTCTTTGACTATTTGACCTTTGTAACTTGATGTCTATTAAACATTTACCCATCCTCCCTATTCTGTTCTTACCCTGGAGTAAGTAATAAGTACTTTAAATGCTTGCAAACTCTCATAAGTGTCCTTCCTTAGAATGTTGCGGATCCTGCAGCCTTGGGGTCTTGTCAGTGTTCCCATTCTTAGTTTTGTGGTTTGAGTGTTATTTTGTTTTACTGTAGTGAAGAATTTTAGCCTAATTTAGTAGCATTATTTTCTTTTAAAAATGATTATATTTTTTTATACATAGTAGTAAGTGTTGTGTCTAAAGTAGTAGTAATAATTTAGTGGATACACCTCTGCTGTCTTCCCAACCTGCAGGTTCTTGTTAAACCTTTGGGAGACCGAGGATATCTTTTTCTTCTCTCTCCTTACCAGATGATTTCTCCATATGGTAGGTAGTCTGGCTTTAATTCTTACAATTTAAAAGTATATTGTGGCTTTTTCTTCTTTATTTTTTCTTTTTCTTTCTTCCTTTTTTTTTTAGAACATCAGACTGCCCAGTCTCGAATCCTACATGCTTTGTTTCTGTTTCAAGAACCTAGATGCCTAATTATCAGTAAGTTTTTTTTTTAATGTTGAAGTGTAATTGCTGATAGATATTATTAAAATCTTTTCAGTAAAGCTTCATATTATTTTTGTACATATTATTCTTTGAAATAGTGGGATTATTTTGTGGAATAAGCAAAATAAAACATGACTTTGATAAGTTCCCTTTCCTGTTTTTGTGTATGCTGTTTCCTGGCTTTGAAGTTTTTTTTCTTTTTTTTTTTTGTTCTCCCTGCATGTATGCCTGCAGGCCAGAAGAGGGCGCCAAATCTCATTACAGATGGTTGTGAATTGCCATGTGGTTGCTGGGAATTGAAATCCAGCCAGTGCTCTTAACTGTTGAACCATCTCTCCAGCTACCTAAACTTTTTCTTTTGACTATGAAAATTTGTTTTTTTCTTTTTGATCAGTGCTTTCATTAATCATTAATGAAATTTTATTATAATTGTTTTAGAACTACAGCTTAGTAAGCTTTTTAAATTGATTTTTATTGAGCTAAAAATATGAAAGGCTTCACGAATTTGCGTGTCATCCTTGCGCAAGGGCCATGCTAATCTTCTCTGTATCGTTCCAGTTTTTGTATATTTGCTGCCGAAGTGAGCACAGCTTAGTAAGTTTTATGTGACATGTTTTTCTCTGATTCATTTTTGCATTCAAGTTTTAGTGATTTTAAAGTGTCATATGCCATATTAAATATTAGGTGTAAATGGAGACTGTGCTTCTGTTTCCTGGGCACCCAGACTTGAACACTGTATTAATTACAACACTGTGTGGTCAGTGGCTCAGGTGTATTCCTAGCTAGCTCTTTCATCTTCAGTTAGCCCATTTCTATTTTATCTATCTATTTATTTATTTATTTATTTATTTATGGTTTTTCGAGACAGGGTTTTTCTGTAGACCAGGCTGGTCTCGAACTCAGAGATCCGCCTGCCTCTGCCTCTCGAGTGCTGGGACTAAAGGTATGCGCCACCATCGCCCGGCCCCATTTCTATTTTATATTTTACCATAAGGCTTGTGGTTTGTTACCACACATTGCATTCTTGGATTTGCTTGACTCTGCCTTCTTTCTCACTGCATTTAGTTTTCCCGCCCTGCCATAGGGCCAAGGAGCTTCTTTTTTTTTTTTGGTTTTTCGAGACAGGGTTTCTCTGTAGCTTTTTTGGTGCCTATCCCGAAACTAGCTCTTATAGACCAATCTGGCCTCAAACTCCCAGAAATCCACCTGCCTCTCTGCCTCCCGAGTGCTGGGATTAAAGGCGTGCGCCACCACTGCCCGGCATCCAAGGAGCTTCTTTATTAACCAATGGTAATAAAACATTCATAACATAAAGAGGGGAATCCCACATCAGTTAGGCCATTCATAGTTAATGAGAATTTGGAATATTTATGTTAGAGAAGATTTTTTGTTGTTTAACTTTTCTAACAACAAACTTGAATACCATTAAGGAATTCCCACTTTGGGATTAAGCCTGGATTTCTCAGCTGTGGTTACTCAGTGCATGGATATGTGCTTATGAGGAAATGAGTTTATATAAAGTTGTTATTTTATGAGCAAGATGGACTGACACTGCTATTTGCAAGACTGATACTGCTTAGAATCTCAAATCTTGCTTTTACCCCATTCTTTGCAATTTGCTTGTCACCATTTGTGTTGACTTGGGGCCAGAAGGAAGTGAAGATTGTTAGTGAGGAGTTTTTTCCTCATTAAAAAGTCTGTTTTCCTTTTTCATTTGTTTTGGTTCTTGGCCCATTTTAAGCAGAAACATGGTACTCGTCAGTTGGCTGCTATGCTATATGTGTATTAGAAACAATAACTGGTTCAGCATTAATGTTCAGATGTTATACTTCAATAATAAGATTTATATTTAAGGGCTGGAGAGATGGCTCAGAGGTTAAGATCACTGGCTGATCTTCCGGAGGTCCTGAGTTCAATTCCCAGCAACCACATGGTGGCTGACAACCATCTGTAATGAGATCTTGTGCCCTCTTCTGGCCTGTAGGCATACAAGGAGGCTGAACACTGTGTACACAATAAATAAATAAATCTTAAAAAAAAAGATTTATATTTAATTTCCTTACTATGCCTTACTTTCTGTTTATTTGCAGCACAAAAGGGTATAATGAATCCAGCACCACAGGAGAAACATGAGAACATATCAGATATATTAAAAATAACTCAGTTTTTACAGTTTGCTTTGATTCAGTGTCGAAAAGAATTTCAAGATATAAACACTATAAATTTTTATTCTGTTGTTGAGAAGTACGTAAGTGAATTTTTTAAGCGAGGTTTTGGTTCAGGTAAGCGAGAGTTTTTCATGTTTTCATATGATTCACGATTAGATGATAAAAAATTCCTATACTCAGCACCAAGAAATAAATATCATATTGACGACTGCTTACATACCTACATTTATCAGCCAGAAATGTATCAATTACCTATTTTTAAATTAAAAGAGTTATTTGAAGAAAATCGAAAACGTCAACAGTTTAGTCCACTTTCAGATTATGAAGGTCAAGATGAAGAAATTAATGGTTCAAAAATGAAATTTGGAAAACGAAATGGCTCAAGGGGTGAAACTACTGATCCTGCACAGCAGAAGTCGTCTCATTCTCTAGATTATGATAAGGATAGAGTCAAAGAATTGATTAACTTAATCCAGTGTACCAAAAAAAATGTGGGTGGGGACCCAGATACAGAAGATACTAGAAGCAAAAATATCTTGAAGAGGAAGCTTGAGGATCTACCTGAAAATATGAGAAAATTCGCCAAAACCAGCAATTCATCTGATAATTACCATCTATATGAAGGTAAAATGACACACTACTTTTATGATAATATCTATTTTATGAACTAGCTAAAGAATAGTTCTGTTCTTTTCCATGTTATAGAGATACTCAATTTACTAAGCCTAAGAGTCAAATACAGAATGTCCTGGGTACATGGTTGGGTTTGGATTTTATGTTCTTTTCTTTTCTCCCTATCTTTTTTGAGACAGGGTCACACTGGAGCTCTGGCTGGCCTGGAATGCTCACCAGTCTCCCTTTCTCTGCTTCCCAGAGAGTATAGTTACAGATGTGAGCATGCCTGCCTGCCTGGCTTGTTCAGGATTGGTTGACCCTATCCTTGAAATTACACTCACAGTAGATAATAGGTCACTGCGGTGGCTTTACATTTCTGGCTGTTAGCCACTTTTGCTAGTGCTAACTTACATGTTCCTCTTGCTGTTTGCCTGTGGTCCTTTCCTTTCTCAGCAAGCTTTGTTCTTCAGGTGTGTGTTGTGTTACGGCTCAATTCTTTCTTGTACAATCCAAGAAAACATAAATCATCCTGAATTCAGTTACCATGTCACCACTAAAATGGGTTCTGAATCCAGATGCAAAGAACTGGTTTGCTTTTGTGTATTTGTTTCCTGAATGTCTTACCATTGCCTTTCCAGGGTGACGGATTCAATAATCATTTGTTTCCTTTGAGTTATTTGGTTGGTCATGAACTTGCTGGTCCAGATAGTTACTATTATGTCATTTCTGATGCTCAAGCAGCTAAAGAGTGAAAGAGTTGTCTCCTGTTTTTTAAGAAAAAAAAAAAATTTTTTTTTTAGAATACAACCATGACCGTTCATTTGTATACATAGCTGCTTTCACACAGATTTATAGAATTGCAGTAAAGACGGCCAGATCTGCCGGGCGATGGTGGCGCACGCCTTTAATCCCAGCACTCGGGAGGCAGAGGCAGGCGGATCTCTGTGAGTTCGAGACCAGCCTGGTCTACAGAGCTAGTTCCAGGACAGGCTCCAAAGCCACAGAGAAACCCTGTCTCGAAAAACAAAAACAAAAAAAAAAAAGACGGCCAGATCTTAAAATGATGTTTAAAACATTTAATGTCTGATTTTATATAAAACATTTACCCTGGTATGTCATATTTCTTATTTCTTCGTTGTTCAGTTTAGGCTAATATGATAAAGTATATTCAACACTTTTAAGCATAGCTTGAACTTAGCTCCTATACTATATTTTGTTTTTGAAACGAGCGATGTTTGTTGGATTGTTTTGACTGTTGCTTAATGAATGGACCCTTCTGAACTTTAAAATGAAATTTCTTAGATTCATACAATTACTGTTATGTTTCTTTGTTGTATTATTTTCAGTTGATAGAAATGGGAGACTGTTATCGTAGTGTGTTTAAATATTATAAGTTAAATGCTCATACAGTTTTTTTAACTTTTTTATACTGGCTAATTCAGAAGCATGAAATATGAGGTTTGGCCTTTTGTTTTGTGCTCAGAAACCTTACTTGTTTTCTTTTCAAATGTGTTTGTCTTGACTAGGTTTGGCAGATTAATGTCCTTGGCATATTATATACTTTATGCTCTGAACAAACCAAAAAGCCTTGTTTATGCTAGATAAGCACCCACCCACTTAATTGCATCCCCTGTTCTCTTTATTTTTGAAACAAGATTTCACTAAGTTGCCCAGATTGGCTTTTGGCTTATTGTTTAGCCCAGGCTAACCCAGGTATCTTGGCTTCCCAGATATGTGGGATAGGCATGTGCCACCACATCTGGAACCCTTTTATTCTTGAATTATTCATTGTGGTAGTCATTGCATGTAATTAAAATGAAATAAAACAATATTTCACCAGCCGTACAGCTGTTTGGACCATACTGATAGGAATATTGCAGTCATTGCAAAAAGTTGTATTTGATGGTGCTGTTGTCTGGTATAACTTTGTAGAATTTTCTTTACTTGACTTTGGCATCTCTTTACTTTCAGTGTCTATGTCTCATATCTCTTGTGTCCTTCTTGGTTTTTAAATTACTCAATTCATTTCAGTAGCCTCTCTATTGGTTTGTTAACATTAGTTTCTTCCGTATTTGACTTTTGAAGACTGTTTTCAGACAAACAAGGATCTGGCCATGCTACTGTTCTTTTATGTGTTCTTCAATTTTTCAGAAACAGTTATTGTAAAGTACACACATACTTGTAAAATCTAAGCCTAAAATATTTTAGTTCCTACCCATAAATGCCTTAAATGATTTTTAAGTTATATTTTATTTTTAAAAGTTTAAGTTTAAAGGGGTTTTAAAAGTTTAAGTTTTTTCATTCTGTCATAAATGAGTATACTGGCTTTCAAAATACAAGAGATGGCTTTTCTTTCTTTTTCTTAGAGTCTCCACAGTCCATTGGCTTACTTGGACACGATCCTAACTTGAGACTGCAACAAGAAGAGGCATGTAACATTGGAGATGCCCATAAGCTTTATAATTGGTTATCAGAAGCATTAGCAAATGAACGACACTCAGATGCAAGGCACTCAGATGCATTCCTGACAGATACAGTCAACAAGGCCTTAGGACTGAGTAGCAGCGGTGCCTGTGAAGAGCTAAGACAAAAGTGTGACTATGAGCTGAATCCTCCTTTAGATAAGAAAGACTGTGAGCAGCCTGCTTGTACAAAAGTTGAAAATGTTCATTTTAAGGGTGCTCAGAGCCCACTGCTAGAAGTTGATGCAGCGTCTGTAAAGTACCCTACTCTTGCTTCTACCAGTGAGGTAGGCATTGACCATAAGCTACATTTGACAGACAGAAACATGACTTTCTGGTTATCTGTTTGCTTTTGTGTATGCTGAAGAAAAAGTGTAGGGTGCACTTGAGAGAGTGACCTTCCTTTCAGAAAGAAATAAGACATACTTCTGAGTAATAGTGTTTGTCCTGAAGGGTGAGTCTAAGCTTTTATTGTTGAAAAAAGATATATACTGAAATAATTGTTTTCTATATGCTTGTGTGCTTTATAAATAATGTAAAGTTTGTCAGTATGGTAAAACTTGGCATAGTAGGAGTTAATTTCATCTTGTTTCATGAGTCCTTTAAACAGTGGCTGTTCTCTGCTGTAACAGAATCAAAATGAGGCAGAAGAAGCAGCTGAACTTAGTAACATGGGGAGCAAATACATATGAGTGGAGTTTGAGATTATCTCTGAGTGATTCTCAGATTTGCTTACTGTGGAATCCAGTTTGTTTATGTATGGTTTGTCCTTAGTAGAGAGTGACTTCTGCATTAGTCCATACTTTCCTAAAAGAGACTTAATCCTTGAGGGTAATACCAAGACGGTACAATAGTTTTAAGGGTTTATAGCTTACTTATTCTGCCTTTGAATAAAAGTTGTATGCATGCCTCAGACTTTTTGTAGTTTTGAGATACTTATTTCAGGGAAAAGATGGGGGTAAGGAGGCTTGTGTAGTAGGCACTGAGATATTAACCTGTGTTGTTAATGTTTTTGAATACATTTAACAAGAGTATGGGCTTCTTCCTGTTTTTATAACTTAAATTCTATTTCTATTCATTTAAATATTACCGGTTGGTATCATTAAATTACAATAACAGAGTTGAATTATGGCCTATAAAATTTAAAACAAAAGTTTACCAGTCACTTCTTTAAATCAATACTGGTTTTGTGTGTGTGTGGTAATGTATTATGTGTTTTTAAAAATGCATTTTATTTCATGTGGTTGTTTTGCCTGCATGTTTGTAAATGCACCACATACATCTTTGATGTAGTAGTGGTGTCAGATCTCTTGAAAGGAATGGAGTTAAGATGGTTGTGAGCTGCTGTGTGGGGTTTCAGGAATTGAACCCTGGTTCTCTGTAAGAGCAGTTGATATTCTTTATTGCTGAATGTTCTTCATATCATCTTATAATTTTTTGTTTGTTTACTCTTTGAGTACATGTGAAGGTCAGAGGATAACTTTAGAAAGTTTGTTCTCTTTCCATCACGTGGCTCCTGAAGAGAGCTACCTCAGGTCATCAGGGCTTGATGGCAAGTGCCTTTCCCCACTGAGCCATCTTGCCAGGCCCCAGATAACCTTTAAGGACACTATATATTGTTTATTTCATTTATTTATTGGGGGGAGGTGTGTTTGTTTATGACACGGTTTCACTCTGAACCTGTGGCTGGACTGTAACTAACTGTATAAACCTGGTCGACGTCAAAAGGTATAGACCTTTTTGATCTTCCTGCCTCTGCCTTCCAAACCTAATTATAAGCAAGCACTACCATTCCTGGCCTTGGCAAAGTGTATTTTAAATTTAAATCTAGAGTATTACAACTTTATAACGTTGGTTTTATTTATTTGTAATGCTCGGACTGAAGTTGTGCATTTGTGGTGAGGAAGTAGTATAGTCTTGACATTAAAAGGAAAGCTATTAAATGTATGTACTCTTTTTTTAGGATCCTAATTTAATTAATGTCAGTAATTTTGAAGAGTGCAGTCTGTGTCCCACTGTTTCCATTGAGCATGGATTCCTTAGACAACATTCTAAGTCACATGATGAAGAAGAGACAGAAATACATTGGAAATTGATTCCAATTACAGGTAAGGATTAGTATACTTGGTCATAGGTTTGCTTCTTTTTACTTTGGGACCAGGTTCCTGGAGAGTTTCATCTCTTTTAGATTCCCGTCTTGGTTCACAAGGTAATAATCTTATGTGGCTTTGCCACAAGTCTTTATTTTTAGCACTATATTATTTATCACCATTACATTTATTTATTTACTTATTTATTTATTGTTTTTCAAGACAGTTTTTCCTCTGTATAGCTTTGGAGCCTGTCGTAGAACTTGGTTTGTAGCCCAGGCTGGCCTAGAACTCAGAGACATCCACCTGCCTCTGCCTCCTGAGTGCTGGGATTAAAGGCGTGTGCTGCCACCACTCGGCTACTATTACAATTCTTGATTGACATCAGCAAGTATCTTCAAAAGGGCTTATTAATATAGGGATTTAGGGCATAGTTACTTTTTGTGGAGTTTTAACATTCATATTATCATTTGCAAACTTGATAGAAACTGAACTTGGAAATAGGTGTTGGAGTGAAATGATGCTCTTTGGGTAGCCAGTAATTTTTAACTCACTAATCTAAACTTCACTGCAAAGCTATCTGCCATATAGCAATTAGTCATGTTGAGCCTCATCTGTATGAAGGAAATTTGATTTCCTAATGGTTTGTTCTAGAGCACAGCCTGAAATGACCAATGCAAATAGCTCATGGAAACTTACTGAACCACTGGCATTGATGGTTGTTGAAAGATTGTCATTTGTAATATTCTTTCTTGTCCATGAACACACTGCATGCTCTTAATATTCAAGTTTTTATTAGTCTTTGTTATCTAAGTATGTTTGGAATTGTTTTCTGGGCACATCTTTTCCATTCCTATACCTTTATTTAGACTTTGGAAAGAAATTGAAGAAAGAATGACTTTTGCTGAAAAGTAGACTGGCTTGTGACTTATAATCTATGAGACCTGTAGGGATTCTGAGAAGAATTTCTAAAATTGAGTGTCCATTGGCTTCTGCACTGTTCTATGCTTCCTACCTTACCAGAGGAGGCAGGAGGCCCTAGACCTGATGATGGAGAGAGAACTGATAACTTTTATGAAATGGAGACACAGTGAAACTTTGAAATAAAATAGAAAAGTAGTTTGTAAGTGATGGTTATCCCAGCCCTTTATAATTGCTGTTGAGTCATTTAAAGAAATAATATAGGTACTGCTTTTTTCCATTACCTGAATGGTTTCCATTCAGGTAGCTTCCCATTTCCAGATGACCTTTTAAGAATATTTAGGCAAAAGAAAGGACTATTCCTTTGTTAGCATTTGTGGTTGTCTAAAAGGTACCTAATAGGTGTCACTGGTATCTGAAGAGAGTCTGCAAATCTAATGGATGCTTTCCTCAGGAGGGAATGCAAGAAGCCCAGAAGACCAGCATGGGAAACATGGTGAGAAACAAACACCAGGTGAGAAGGCTCACTTTGCTTTTCTGCCCAATGTGTCCTCCTCAGAATTGCTACTTGGATTCTGGTTCTTCATCAGTAGGGAATGGATTTATTTTGTGCTCCATAGAGAGAAGTTTAGACAATATCTTTTTGTTTAATTATCATTTTAAAATTTAATTGTATCAGATACTCTTGTTAACAAATGTGATGTGTTTTGATCAGGTGATAAAGGAATATGAAAATGTTTTTTAGCGCATTTCTTCGGGTATTCTATAAGAACCAATCTTTATTTTTAAAATGCAACAAGATAACCACTTTTTTTTCTTTCCTTCTTTCTGTTTTTCCATTTTTCAAAACAAACTATCTTTGTAGTTTTAGATCTTGTCCTGGAACTAATTCTTTAGTCCAGGCTGACCTCAGATTTACAGAGATCCACCTGCCTCTGCTTCCCAAGTGCTGGGATTAAAGGTGTGTGCCACCACTGCCCGGCCATTTTTTTTTTTTTATACTCTGATCATAATTTTTCTTCTTTTTGTGGCCAAACTTTTTGTATATAAAACTAACTTCTCAGATAGTTTAAGGGATTGCAAACTGTTTCCAGAAACAAAAGTCCTACTGATTATCTAATTGCAGTAGCTACACAGAAGGGTCTCCTTTGTCTGACTGAGCTCAGTCAGACCCAGTTTCTCTGCACAACATTGTTGGCATTATTTTCTTGCCTGAGCCTGATAGTGACCTTTTTAATGTTTCCAATTGTTTTAATACCTTACTACTGGGGCGTGGTCTCTCAGTGGCTATTGGCTGAAGGAGCAGAAGGAGCTCCCGCAACACCTTACTCTTAAAAATCTTGTGTGTCTTTTTGTTATTTTAATTTAGGAGGAAAGTATTCATGGGGAAATCTGAAGGTTTCTTAATTTAGAAGGAAAGCTAACTGGCTTTCTTAGTAAATTATTAACCCTTCTCAGGAAGATGTTTATCTCCTAGGAAAGATGATTTATTTTTAAAAATACATGATGTAAGAAAGTATGCAAGTTGTAGTGTACAGCTCAGTAATATCCACATAAATATAACTTTGTGACTACTACCTAAGTCAAGATGTAGAACAGTTCTGGCACCCTAGCTTTTCGTCTCCATTCTCTCCATTCACAGTAGGTGGCCACTAATCTCACTTTCTTTACAATATGTTTAGTTTTTTTCTCCATAAATTGAACCCACTCTTGCCTGTTTGGCACTTTCATTTCAACTTTATGTCAAGGTTTCATCTATGTCGTGTACTGCAAGTAAATCTTCCTAGGAAAAATAGTTAACTTGTTTGAACTTTATAATCTTCATTCTCTTCCTTCAGATACTGTATTCATATTTTATAATTGAAAGTTAGATCTAAATGACATTACCATCTGAGAAATAATTCATATTCTTCACATGTTAAAAGTCAAATGACTGGTACTTTGTGTCAACAATCAGTAAAATAAACACGTATTATAGGTAATGACATCTGTCTATTAAATCCTCTATTGATAAAAATGTGTTTTTAAAGTTTTGATCTTAAAATCATATGGAGTAATTTGTAAAATAAAATTAGATTATGTTTATTCACAATTTTTGGAAGAAGTTTATTTGGCTTTTAAGTGTCATGTGTGGGTGTATATATAGGGAATAGAGGAGTACATTCAAGTGTGTGAATAAAGAGATCAGAGGAGAACATTGATTTCTTCCTCTATTGTGGGTTTGTTTGCCTTACTGCTTTGAGGGTTGGTCTTCACAGAAACAGAAGCCTAAGCCTGCCTTTTCAAAAAGGCTGTTATTATTATTATTATTATCATTATAAACTTTATAATGTGAATTGGTGTGAGGGTATCAGATCCCCTGAAACTGGGTTATAGACAGTTGTAAACTGCACATGGGTGCTGGGGATTGAACCCAGGTCCTCTGGAGGCACAGGCAGTGTCCTTAACCTCTGAGCCATCTCCCTAGTCCCAAAGTTAGGCTGTTTTGCTATCAGGCTCCTGAGGTCCACCTTTCTCCACCCTATAATGTTACATGCATGTGGGCATCCATGCATGACTTTTTACATATGTTCTAGAGATTTGAACTCTGGTCCTAATGTTGCATAGCAAGTGCTTTTACCCACTGACAGTCTCTAAAAAAAAAAAAAAAAAAATTTTGAGACGTAGGTTTTTCTGTTTAGCCCAGGCTATCCTATAAAGTTGTTGAAAATCCATGTCCTGATTTTTTTTTTTTTTACTCTAGTGGTGCGGTGGCTCAAACTTGGCTCTTATTTCAAACATCTGTTAAAAGACACCTATATTGTCAGAAAATAAATGTATTAAAGATGATCTATATTTTAAAAACTTTTATTATTTTAATAAAAATAATTGCTCTCAATTTTTCTAGTACTCAGGAGGTTGAGGCAGGAAGATTTATGAGTTCCAGGCCACCATGAGCCTGTCTCATAAAAGCAAAAAAGAATGGGTGGGGTTAAAAGAGAGGAAAAAAAGTATTAAGTGTGTTTACTTTGCTCTTAATAGGTTAATATTACCAATTTCTTATATGCCCTTCTATATATTTTATATTATTTTAAATACTTTTTAATGGTGTAAATTTAAATATAGAACATTCAGTATTCCTGAGTCTTACAGATAGGACTTGAACTTTATAATACTAATTTCATATAGTTTTAATTGTTGACAAATTAATTGGGTGTTTTGCTTTTTGTTTTGTTTTGTTTTGACCTTTATGCCTGTTGTTCTTACTATATTAGTGTCTTTACAGTAATTGAATGTAGTGGTCATGACATTGAAAACTGTGAGTTTGGGGAAAATAAAAATGGAATTTTGTGTAAGAAGAATGCAGCTACATCTGAGCATAAACTTGTAAATTCATTGTAGCATTAGAGGTTTGAAAATTCAGGGTTTTCTGATTTAGAGTCACCATTTTGTATACTACAATGGTGATGTGTTAGGGAATGGTGTTGATAAAGACTTAAGGAAAAATTCTAATTTTTCCAGGTCTTAAAATTGTGTGATAGCCTTTTTGACAAAGATTTTGACTTTATCTCTAAAATATATTATTGTAAATTAAAGTTCTATATATTTTCATCATATTTAAAAATATGTTGAAAAGTAGTTTTAAAAATTTACTTCGAAAAGTAGTTTTAAAAATTTAATCATGTTTGAATTTAAGATTTGTGAGGAAAACAACAGTATAAACTAATAGATTGAGCCAGTTCTTACAAGCCAAAGGTTGTAGTCCTGTTAGCACTGGATTGCACAAAGATTTTGTAATCCAAAATTCATAGTTTTGGATTACAGGAATAAAGAAATAAAAAAAATTGCTTATTTCTTCTTGGAATTATTTACAAATTAAATGAAAATAGTAGGAGAACATTCTAAAAGGTACTACTTTTATAGCTATGAAATAATTCAATTCTTCTGTTTTTTTAAGTCTTTTTTCCCCTGACAAAATAAATCTGTTATGCTGTAGGCAATCCATTAACCTATATGTGAAAGCCAGCCTAAAAATGATGCAACTTTTTAAGATCTTAAATGCTATTTCTGTTGAGCTTTCTAGTTGTCTTATATTCCATTCTTCAACTAATGTGGTATGATAATTATTGGTCATCTGTTAGCATCAGATGTACAGAATGGCACGAAAGCGACTTAACGTGTTTATGCCAAAAAGGCAATTTCTTAAAAATCTTTTTCCAGAGAGACACTTTTTGAACTTGTGAAGAAAGAAACTGTTCAGCGTTGCTGCTCTGCTTACTGAAATCCAAAGCCTAGCCTATAAGTAGAGCAGATAGGGTTCACAGTTTTTTGATGTTTTGAATTTACTTTGCAATGTATATTTTTAAATGTGTACCTGAGCTGATTGTTCTTAAAAATGAGTTTTTTGTTTTTTTAATGTTACCTATTTGGATTGCGCTTTTAATAATAAACTCTTCTTGTATAGGACTAAAATCGCCAGGAGAACCACTGGTGTGTCTGCCACCACTGGAGGCTTTTCCTCACGACCCTCGGGTAATAAGTAGAGAAAGAAGTGCTGATTACCAGTTTCCACCACCCTCTCCGTTTACAGACACTGTAAAGGGCACCACTGAGGAGGACCTGGTGTCAGGTCAGGTGGTGACAGTGGAAGAGCAGTGTGTGCCAGCAGCAGAGCCTCCTGCAGTGAGTGAGACTACAGAGAACACAGTGTTAGGAGAGTTCCATCTCTTTTCTAGAAAGATTGAAGAGATTTTGAAGCAAAAGAATGTTTCATATGTTAGTACAATTTCCACACCTATCTTTTCAGCACAAGAGAAGATGAATCGTCTTTCTGAGTTCATATATTCTAAGACTTCAAAAGCTGGTGTACAGGAATTTGTAGATGGTTTGCATGAAAAACTAAATACTATTATTATTAAAGCATCAGCTAAAGGTGGGAATTTGCCACCAGTAAGCCCTAATCATTCTCATACAACAGCATTGAATTCTCTGGGAAGGCATATTGTATCAATTTCTTCAAGTGACTTCAACAGTAAAGACCTTTTTCAACCAGTGTGTCCTGAGCCTTTAAAAGATATCAGTTCTAATGAACAGTATTCTTCGTCAATTGAAGTAGAAATGAATCAGTTACACCCCTGCAAGGAGTTAATTTTGACTTCTGATCACACTGTACCTGGTGATACTGCCCTGGAACCAGTAGAAAAAGAAATCACAAAATCAACTGGCGATATAAACATTTCTGCACAGCCTGCTCTTTCAAATTTTATAAGCCAGTTAGAACCTGAAGTATTTAATAGTTTGGTTAAAATAATGAAAGATGTCCAGAAAAATACTGTAAAATTTTACATTCATGAAGAAGAGGAGAGTGTGCTTTGCAAAGAAATAAAGGTAAATATTGAGAAGGTAATTATAGTGCTATATAAACTCAGTGGTCTGAACTCTCTAAAGTTAAATCTTAAAGGTGGCCATATTTTATTTTCTGAATTTAGTAATTAAGAATTGAATGGAATAGTGCATTGGGAACCTATGATCCCAGCATTGTAGATGTCAGAATCTTTTCTGTTGAATTTTTAAGATTGTTTGTATGTGTATAAGGATCTGGGGCTACAGCTCAGTTAACAAGTGTTTGACCCCCCACTATCATGGGGTAGGAAGAAGCCTCTGGTCATAACTGTAGATTTACTTGATTCTGAGATTAGATTTCCAAACAAAAAGCAGGTTTTTATAAATTTTGGAGGGTACTAAGTACATGTATGGTCTAAGTCTAGGGCAGCTTGTGAGAATCACTACTCATTCAGAGACTTGGCAGCAAGTACTTTTTCCCGCTGAGCTAGCTTGCTGGCCTTTGATTTGGAGGTTTTATATAAGGCTTGCTTAATTATTTTTTAATGAATGAGAAGGAAAAATGCAAAGTGTTATTGTAGGTTGTGCTGTTCTTCTCATGTGGAGTTTTATTGATCAGATGGAAACAAATGTCCAGAAATTGCATAGTGACACATTCGTTTGTCATACCGTGACCATGTCACAACTTTTAATGATCAGAAAGACTTCCATAGCTATAGAATACCATTTAAGGTATTTGATCTTGGAGTTTTAAAGTAACTGCATGTTCCATTTATGTAATTTATTTATTGTGACTGGAGTTTCTGTCTGTTTTGTTAGAGGCAGCAGAGGGACTTAGAAAACTAAATAGTTCAAGAAACTCAGTATCAATTAACAAATGCTTAATCTGTTTATCTTATGTTAGCTTGTTTAATGTGATATCCCAAGTAATAGATGAAGAGTGTTGAAATGAAAAAGGATACATACCACTGTTGTACTTTCTGTGTTTTCGTAGGAAGATGAAGAGAGACTTGGTTGCATCTTTGTTCTCTGTAATTGAACATAGTGCTTAACTTTTTCTCAACTCTAGAAACACATTTCTAACACAGAACTTTGGACATAGCTGCATGTTGGTGTAATACTAAGCAAGAGAGTTTAAGTTGAACACAGTGTAATCCCTTTTTAAAAATGGATTCTTCAGCATCCATGTGACATTTGTATTGAAGAGATAGGATATACAATTCTTTATGAATGGTGCTTTGAATTATAGCTTAAGTTATCATTACTTACGTAGAGTAAGAAATTATCTCTTTCAAATCTTGTAGAAAATTAGGTTAGAACATTATTTAAAAAAAAAACAAATTTATTTAACTTTTATTTGTGTCCATTGCTATGAAGATATCAGATCCCCTGGAACTGGAGTTACAGACAGTTGTGAGCTGTCCTGTGGCAAACAAAAAACTTAAACTTCTAAATATTTCTGGAATCAAAGTGTTTTGTTACTATATTAGTTAAGCAGTAGTATCCACAGTAAGTTGAAGTTTAAATTGAAAATGTACAAAGAATACAGTTGCCATTAGTCCTGTCGGATAGGTTACCTTTTCATTAATAAACTAAAAGGTAGTTTGAGACCTTCCTAAAAACTGCAGAGTTGAAGGCAAAATCATTGTGGAAAATGCTTCCCTACATTTAAGTTATACAAAAATGTTGTCTTGACAACTGGGTAGTCTACTTGTCAAACAAGCAGAGTTTTGATTATGCTATCTGAGCATCTTTGTTAATGTAGAAAAAATTCATCTCCTCTGTCTTTGGAATGAAGAATGTCACCTCAGGATCTTGCAGTTCACTTCAGGGCTCAGGGTTCGGCCAGCAAGCACAATGCAAGGGAGCTCTTAAGAGCATACTGCTGTGCCCTCTGAAAGGTGGTGCTGCATTACCAACACAGAAGACATGCTTGATGACTGAAGCTGCTGTGTTTGAAGATGGAAACTTGGCAGAAAAGGGCTAAATTAGTAATATCATTAGTAAACATTTCTGCTCATATGATGGCCCATGAGTTCTTTTTGAGTTGTTTTGGATTAAACTTCATTGGTCATGGCCATATTCTGACGGGAAGTATTTCTGGTAATACCATCACAGATCACTAAGAGCTGGGTCCTGGGTTTACTGTGATGGAGGTAAGTGGGCCAAGGGTCTGGACTAATCTATTGTTGTTACAGCAGTTCAGCTTTTGTATGCTTTCTTTAAACTGTAAGAGTAGATATGATGAGCTCTCCAGACTTCTAAAGTCAAAAAAGTTCACAGTGTCCTAGGTAAAGCTTATCAGTTTATGTTTTATTTGCTAAATAAATGTTGGAAATTGATGTTTGCTAAGAAAGTTTGTTAATGCTGATTTAGTTGTTTTTCTTTGACAGGAGTATCTTACCAAATTAGGCAATACAGAATGTCATCCAGATCAGTTTTTGGAAAGAAGGTCAACCTTAGATAAACTATTGATTATTATTCAAAATGAAGACATTGCAGATTTCATTCACAAGGTAGACTATTAAGACCAGTTTACTAATTTACTTTCTAAAACTACTACCTCATTGTTAAATCTTATTCTAAGAACAAAACTTTTTCTTTAAAAAAAAAAAAGAAAAAAGCTTTTTTTTCCCCATAAAATTAAGAAAATGCTTAAGTACTTGAGTAGGGGGTGTTCTGCTAACTCTTCATATATAGACAAACCTTTTTTTTCTTTTTTTTTTTTTCGTGAGTCCCCATTGACCTTGAATGTGGAGGTATTTCCCTGCTCTTAGGAGCTTGCCTTTCATTATTATTGTAGCACCACAGGTTCTCCTTTTTTTTGTTTGCTTTTGTTTTTGTTTTTGCTTTTGTTTGTTTGCTTGTGAGCTGATATCCTTTGTAGCCTAGACTACTTCAAACTGTGCAGGCCAGTCTGGCCTCTTAATTAGTCCTCCTCATCTCAGGTAGGATGACAAGTATCACCACACCTGGCTCCTAGTTTTAAATTCTGGCTGTTTATGGATTTAGAAATATATTAGCATTTTGTCCAGTTTTTGTTTTTAGCCTAATGTAAATTCCTTTCCCTTAGTGTTATGTTCATATATGTTGGTTTATACTACTGGGAAGTAGTACTTCAAATACTAATTTTGTCACTTTCCAGAGGCAATGATGAGTTATATATAGTGTATTTTTTTTAATTTTATTCTTCTTAGGGTATTTGATACTTATATATATTGGTTAGTTCATTTATCTATCCTATTTCTGTTTTTTGGTATTTAACAGGTACCTGGCTTAGTGACTTTAAAGAAGCTCCCATGTGTTAGTTTTGCTGGTGTTGACAGCCTGGATGATGTTAAAAACCATACATACAATGAGTTATTTGTGTCTGGTGGCTTTATTGTGTCTGATGAATCAATCCTAAATCCAGAGGTTGTCACAATTGGTAAGAATGAGTATGTTATTTTCAGTGTGTTTTTTTCTGGGTTGTGGTTGCCTTAGGTTTTCAGGAAAAATTAAAACTAAGGGATTAAAAAGTGCATTGTTACTGTGCCATTCACAGCTAACAGGCTTATTTCTATCTTTTCCTGAGTTTTTGCCACCTCAATCATCTTCTCCATTCTGTTTTTATATGTACTTTTATGTAAATCTGGTCTACACTGCCTGCTGTGACACTTAAATTATTCTAGTGGTGGTGCTGTTATTGGGTATTGGTTTTGTTTGTAGGTGTTTTCAGAGTTTTAATGCTATAAGGAGTTCCCTTTCCCTTCGAGCAAGATGATGAATATGTGGTGCATAGGGGGAAAAATAGACCTGTGTAAATACGAACAAGCACTTCTTCCAAAATCTCAGCATGGCAGACATTGTTTATTCCTGACTTTAAAATCTGAATTTCATTGTCTCTAACAGAGAGCCTTAAAATTTTTTTGACATTCCTTGAAGAACTTAGTACTCCAGAAGGGAAATGGCAATGGAAAATCCACTGTAAATTTCAAAAGAAACTGAAGGAACTGGGCAGGTAAGATACAGAAAATATTGAATTTTTTGTTTGTTTTTGAGACTGGATTTCTCTATAGCTTTGGAGCCTGTCCTTGAACTATCTCTTGTAGACTAGGCTGGCCTCGAACTCACAGAGATCCTGTTCCGCCTGCCTCTCTCTTGCCTCCTGAGTGCTGGGATTAAAGGTGTGCGCCACCATCACCCAGCTATGAATAATTGTTGATTTTTAACAGTGCTCACAAAACTTTTCCTTTTTCTGGGTTTGTGGATTATGAAAGTTTTCATGTATGTCAACAGACAGTAAGTGGGTATAAATACTGAGTTATTCTATTCTTTTTGAGTAAGAAGTGATATTCTTGTTGACATAAAGAATTTGGTTAAGTTCTCATAGTATGATAGTTAGAATTGCCTTAATCTGCATGTGGATCTGCATGATCACAAGGATCAGAAATCTAATTTTTTTGTGATGCTAGATTTGAAGCACATGTTGTGAGCTATATTTCAAGCCTTTAAAATATATTAATTTACTCTTTGATAATATCATACACATATACAATGTATTTTTGGTTCTATCTACTTCTTAACCAACTCTTCCCAGGCCTCTCTACATACCATGTCCTCCCAAGTTCATGTTCTCTTTTTTCCTTTATAACCCACTGAATCCAATTACTGTTGCCCATATACTACTTCATTAGGCTGCCCATTAAAGCATAAGCATATCATATCAGGGCCCACTTTTAATTGAAGAAAAATGACACTTTGTTGTTACCAGACCCCTGTCAGCTGTCAATAGGGATGGGCCTCATAAGTATCTTTCCTACTCATGCTGGAATTTTGGCCGGTTTGTTTTTGTTCAAGTCTTTGGCAGGCAACCAGCTGTTGTGCGTTCTTGTGTTCAGCCGCCCTGTTAAAAGACCAAAAGGCAGTTTTCAGCAGCACTCCACAACACCTGGCTCTTAGGATATTTCTGCTCCCTGTTTTACATAGTTCTCCAAGCCTTAGGGAGAAAGATTGTGATATAGATGACGTATTTAAAGCCATTTAAAAAACTGATCTATATTTGCAGTGTAAATCAGACCCTGTCCAAGTAAGTTAGTTCGGTAACTAATCGAATTGCCAAGGGTTGGTCTCTGCCTGATAAGGCTCAGTTAGAAACTGGTTTATAATGTGTGTTTGTGTGGGTTCTTGCATGTGGGGGAGTTACTCCCTTGGAGGGCACTTAGTCTGGTAAGTTTGAGATGCTGTAACTTTTTTTTTTTTTTAATTCTTTTTGGTTTTTTCCAAGACAGAGTTTCTCTGTGTATCTCTGGTTGTCCTGTAACTAGCTCTTGTAGACCAGGCTGGCCTCGAACTCAGAGAGATCCTCCTACCACTTCCGAGTGCTGGGATTGAAGGTTGCGCCGCCACCACCCAGCTGAGATGCTGTATCTTGTTAGTGTTCACGAACTTTTTAAAAAATAATTAATTGCACGTTAGAGAATTTTTATCAGCTAGAATTTCCTAAGTGTAAGTCATAGAATTTTGTATGTGGAGTGCACTCACCTGTTCATGCAGAGGCCAGGGCAGGATGTCATTTGTTTTCCTCTTTCTCTCCATCTTAATCACCTTATAACAGGGTCTCTCCATGAACTTTGGTTCAGCTCACATATCAACTATACTTTGCCAGGGAGCTCTCATGAACTGCCAATCTGTTCCCCATGCTGGGATTGTGAACACATCCAGCTGTGTGGGTTCTGGGGATGTGAATCAGATCCTCATGTTTGCAGAGCAAGTGCTCTTACTCTCTGAGCCATTCTTTTCAGTCCCCAATTACTTTTTTGTAAGTTACTTTTTACCCTCTCTGAGACAGACCTCTTGTTGTATATAACTTCAGCTATCCTGTTATTTATTCACTTAGTAGACCAGGCTGCCCTTAAACTCTACCTCTGCCTCCAGAGTACTGGAATTATAAGTGTATACCACCAAAACTAGTTCTAGATCACAGTTCTTTTGATTGCTGTAACACCTATTGACATCGAAAATTCAGGGTAAAATAATTCCAGTGTTTGCTATGTATCATAGTTAAAATACTTCTATCTTTTGGAGACAGAGTCTTGCTATATAATCCAGAACGGCTTCAAACTCAAAAATCTTCCTTCCTCAGCCTCTTTGAATGCAGGAATTTAAAAAGTTGTAACACACACCTTGCTAGTATTTAGCTTTTTTAGACTTATTCATTTTGACAACCTATGAAATAAGCAAAGGGCAAGTTCATATATAGTGTAGACATAACACACCCAAAGGTATATCTCCAGTTCTTACCTTAAAGTATTATAAAAAGCTTAAAAGCTACGTGTTAGGAAGAATTATACTCTATTTGTTCATGAGACAATGTAGCCTAGGCTGTCCACCACCTGAAGTGCCGCAATTATAGACGTATGCCACTGTGCCCAACATTTTTGTTCTTAGATGGCCTTAAAGTTTAACATTAATAAAGCTAATAATACCTTAGTAAATAGGATGACTGATGGTTCAGGTTTTAGCTTAACTGAATTACAAGATTGTCCTCAAAAAGCCGGGCGATGGTGGCGCATGCCTTTAATCCCAGCACTAAGGAGGCAGAGGCAGGCGGATCTCTGTGAGTTTCGAGACCAGCCTGGTCTACAAGAGCTAGTTCCAGGACAGGCTCCAAAGCTACAGAGAAACCCTGTCTCAAAAAGGCAAAAAAAAAAAAAAAAAAAAAAAATATATATATATATATTGTCCTCAAAAACCATGCTCGTCAGATGCACAGTTCCCATTTTCCTTCCCTCTTAACTAGCATTCTTACATGAGACAATAAGCTCAACAGCTTGTGGAGGTTAGTTATTAGCCTCCTCAGTTGAGAAGTGCTTTCAGTTAACTGAAACAAATTTCCATAGTGAATTTTAAAATGCCAATATCTAGGTACTGAACTCTGCTTAATCTGACAGATTGAATACTAAAGCTCTGAGTCTGCTGTCTCTTCTAAATGTGTATCAGAAGAAACATCTGGTTGAGATTTTGTCCTATCACAATTGTGACTCGCAAACGCGAAATGCTCCGGAAATGGACTGCCTTATCAGGCTTCAGGCTCAGAACATACAGCAGCGACACATAGTCTTTCTAACAGGTAGGAACATGCTCTTGCTGATACGGCTGGAGTGGATGTTAATATAATTCTGAATATATCAGTTTCTGTACATTTTCTCTCTTTAATTTAGAGAAGACTGTCAACATGGTTTCCAGTTATACAGATAATGGAATTGTAGTTGCAACTGCTGAAGACTTTATGCAAAACTTTAAAAGTCTTGTGGGCTATCACAGCTCAGTCACAGAAGAAAATCTTCTGCTGCTTGGTGCCAATGACAACGTTGAGTCACAGTCAGGTAACTTTTTAGTAGTTTTCATTTTCTTTAGGTGAGACAGAATGAGGAATGGTTTTGTTTATCCCATAGTGAAATGTTTATTAAAACCATTTACTCCAGTCAATAGTAAACATCACTGTAGGGTTTACTATATATAAGATCTGCTCATTTATTTATACTGTAGTCAGTACAAGTTATTAGTATAGGCTATGCATTCATTCGTCTATTCTGTGGACGGTACATATTTAGAGGTTTATTTTTCCCTCTGAGGGATTAAAAGCTTTATTGCCTTCTCTTTGCTGTCAGTTTTTGTATTTGTGAAGGCAGGTAGAGGGATTATTGGGCTACGAAAGGTCTTCAGATATATGTGCTAGTTTAATTACAAGGTAGTGAGGGTATCTTACCTTGAATCTTCTGTGAGCTGGCCTCTGCTTGGTTCCAGACTCTAAAAGCTGTTCTTAAATTGTTTTTTTTTTTTTTTTGTGAAAAGCAGAGATGACTTGAGCATTCAGTAGAGATAAGCAGTTAGTAATTCAGTGAAGCTACATGTCAGAAGTTTTATTTTATATTTGTCTTATGAAATACTGAATTACCGTATAACTTTAGATGCTGTTTTGACATTAACCCCTTTGGAGCTGGGAGTTGGGATTTCCCAACATTAAACGTGAACACATTTCGAGAAGCTTTTAGCATCGGATTATCTGGACACTCACACCTAATGTGAGTGTTGTGACTAAGTGAACTTGTGGCAGAAGACCAAGCTTTAAGGGATTGTGGACTTTGCAGATCCTGACGCACTATGTTGTGTGAGTAGTGTATAATTTTACAAACTAAACAAACTGTGTATTTCAATAGAGGAGGGCTTTTTGTGTTTTAAATGTAGCTCTTTTAGAAAACGGTGAAAAGGATGAAGAGGATATGTCTCTGGATTCAGGGGACGAAATCTCACATATAGAAGTATTCAGCAGTTTTCATTCAGAAATATTGGCGAGAGAGACCAAAGGATCAAGTGGAACAGATCAAAAAAACAATAATCAAATTGAATTGCAGTCATCTCTTGACGTGCAAAACAGTTTATTAGAAGATAAGACTTCCCATATTGATTGTGAAGAGAGAGCTCCTATTGATAGAGTATGCTCTGAAGGAGAGAACAGCAATTCAGCAGAACAAGATTCATATAGCAACGTTCAGGCTTATCAAAGTCAATTAGAAATGTCCCGCCAGTTTAGTCACTTTAATGTTCTCACTCATCAGACGTTTCTGGGGACACCATATGCCCTTGCATCAACTCAGTCTCAAGAAAATGAAAATTACTTTTTATCTGCTTACAAAAACTTGGATAGAGAGAAATCTTCATTAAGTTAAGGATGTGTCCAAAGATAAATTACAATAACTCAAAAAAAAAAAAAAGGCTGTGGACTTTTTTCAGTTTCTGAAAAGTGAATTGATGTTTTTCAAGTTTCCTAACTTAAGAAATTTTTTTCCTTCCCATATACTTAAATCATGATGACCTGTAACATTCGAAGCATCTGAAAAATGAAATAAATACCTTTTTTGGACATTCTGTAATCAAATTATCTCATGTTGGCACCTTCCAGTTTCACATTTGTTACCTGTACTTGGGCTTCAAAATGAAGTCTGTTTTATATGTAAAATTTGATGTTTATAAAAGAATGGTAAATAGAAATGATTTTCTTTAATGTCAGATGATAACTTTGCTGAAATGTCAATTATTTATTTTGATTAAAGCTTTTGTATAGTGTTTTTACACAGGTATAAGCCAGCAGTGTCAATATTTATAGGATTTTGGCTCAGTACCTCAAGCTATATGTAACAGTGCAATTGCAATTTAGCAAACCTATGTCTACAATACCAAGTAGCATTTTCTCAATGTTCAGGTTTAGCTGTGTAAAAATTTAGCTTCACTTAAATTTTTGTCAGTCTTTTGAGATCCTTGATAAATACTGTCGTGTGATCTATAGTCAAATGAACTTTTTAAGATGGAGTTTCTGTTTTCAATGGTATTGGATAATTTGGAACAGATCTTTGAGGTGGTCTTAATTAGAACTAGTTACGTACCTTAGTGCTATACTAAATCTATACAAAAATTGTATGATGGAGATAAATTTCAAGCCCTTCTATAACTTACATCACTTGCTTACTGTTAATAAATCTATATTGTGACAACTGGGGCATCTCCACTTTTAATACAATGAAAACAAAATTTATAGAAAAGAAAACCACAGGATTCTGAAATGAATTTGAATGCTTTGAGTAAGAGTTTATCCTCAGTGTGTTAATAATAGTACTTCTCACGCCCTCACTGCTGACAGGTCAGAGGTCTCTAGACTCTCTAGTATGGTAAGTAGAAAGTAAGTTTACGTCTTAGTATGACAGAGATCATTTTTTTAAAACTATAAGTTGTTTTATTGTCTTTAAAAAATACAGCATTTTCTTACATAATGTGAAGTTTTTCATTGGGTGCTTGGAAAATGCAGTTGAGTGGTAAGCATATTTAAAATGAAGAACTAAAATTATCTTCTTGGTTTGCAGTTAAGGGTATGAGATTCGTTTCCAGCTCCTTTTGTTTCTGGAGAAGACCCTGCAATCACATTGATAGTTAGTGAAGGTGTGATAGCCAACTTAAATACATGGTAGGGAAAAATTATTGGCTCAGGATAGAATTGTTATTGGACATAGCTCAAGTTTCATCTTTTTTAGTAATTTTTGTGGTGGTCCCTCCTCCTTTGGTTGTTACCTAGCTAGAGTATTTTCTATATAAGCAACGTGGATGATTTCTTTCAAAATCATGAGAAGACACAGTGAGAGTCTTAGCTCTGCTGAAACAGTGTAAGGGTTATGGTGAAGTGTGCCCATCACATTTCTTTCTCTTGTTCCTTTGTGTGAGTTACCAAGGTTGTGTAATGTGCTCAAGCTGTATGTAACCAGAGGTAGCACTTAAAGGATACAAGTAAATGGGTTAGTTTTCTAGTTTTAGGAAGAACAATAAAGGGTAAGCGACATGAGACAAATTCTTCTCAAATACAGTGTTAATAAGCCCCCGGGTAGGTTTCAAATGTTACTGGATTTTATTTTTGCTTGTATAAGAACTTACAAAAAAAAAAAATCACAGGAATGGAGAAGTGTCTGGTGAATAGTTCCATGTATATAATTTCATTCTTGGAACAGATCTATTCTGTTCTAAACTTACAAAGAATGGACCATATTGGTTAAAATTCACTAAAGCATAATTGTGTATTTGTTTCTTTGTTTTAGCACTTTATTGTGTTTTGATGTTTAAATGTACATATTTTTAAATAAAAACTGTCTTAATATCCAAACTGTCTTGGGACTTTTGTTCTTAGGATACAAACATATAGAGAGAACAAACATCTAAATATTTACTTATACTTGGTTAAAAGTTCATACCTGTCTTAGTTCTGAAAGCCCCTTAAGGATAGCTTGCTGTCGATCCCTGTTTTTCACCAATTTAGGATTAAGAAGTGGATCCCTGATATGGTCAGAGTTAAATAGCTCTTGTTGGTCACAATCTAAAGGACAGATGAGGTTTAAAATCGTCAAGCAAATTACTAATAGTTAGCTGTAATGTCTTAAACCTTTAATAGACTTAGTGAACTCCCAACCCTACATGTTTCAACATAATTTTTTTTTTTTTTGGTTTTGAGACAGTTTCTCTGTGAAACAGTCCTGGAACTCACTATGTAGATCAGACTGGCCTCGAATTCATGAAGATCTGCCTGCCTCTGCCTCCCAAGTGCTGGTTCTGAGATTAAAGGTGTGCACTGTCTGGCCTTATATGTGTGTACATACTGGCTACGGAGGCTGAAAGCCTGGTGTTGGAGTTGTTAAGTGGCACTGTAACACCTAATGTGGGTGCTGGGAAACAAACTTCTGAAAGAGCAAGTCACTCTATCATTGAACCATCTGTCTAGCCCACATCTTCAATTTTTGTAGTAACGCTACTTAACTTACCATGAGATTTTTGGTATTGGTTCTCTTGGGTTGATGGCCTAGACAAAGGTGCATCCGGATCAAGATAATAGATCTCATTTGTTCGAACATAGGGAATAAAGTGAGTTGTCTCAGACATCTCCTCTGATAGCTGAGTTTGACCGTCTCCTAAGGCCAGGTTCGTTTTTTCATAGTCACTATTTTTTAATGGCGAGTGTACTGAATCAGTCTGAGTTTGCTGAGTTCTACTCTTTATTGCTGATAACTGGAACCTATTTAAAACAAAAACCCAAACTTTAGTAAGAAATTGCATGTTTTAGAACTAGAGTCATAAATGGTTGTGGGCCACCAAGTGGACATTGAGAACTGAATCTATGTCAGTGCTCTTAACTGCGGAGCCATCTCTCTGGTCCCTAGAAATGGCATGTTTTAGACACATCTAATCACATTGCAGTTCATTCAAGATGTGTTTGGCCTACTTTAAGGAATACTATGGATATCAACCTAAGATCTGTAATTTTTCATAAAACAAGACCATGTGGGGCATTTCCCATAAAGCTGTGCCCGTGCTATCTGAACTGAAGTCCCTGTTAGAGCTCTACTGTGAAATGAGTCTAAACCCGGTCTGGGCTGTGCATAGCAAAGGGTCACTACAAACCTCCCACCTAATAACTACGTTTTGTTTGTTTGTTTGCTTCTTACTGTTTTTAACCAATTCGTTTCCCTATCGGATTTATCCAGGCTGAATGCTTATTCCATAGACATGGAAAAAAAATCAAACGTGTTTAGGTCCACTTCAGCTTAAAAAAAAACAAAAAAAACTATAATAAACCTTTACCAAAAATCAATGAAAGCCAGCCGTACCTCTTTCCTACTACTGCCTTCATCTGCACATGGAACTGCCATCCAGATTTTGAATGGATATTTTATTTTGCACACAAAAAGCACTAAGTAGCTAAGGAAGTAATATACATACCATTCTTTAATATCTGAAGTTTTCAGAGGTTCTTCTGCCTAAAAGATGGATAACACAAACACGAAGTAAGAGTGACATCTTTACATGTCCCTAGATACTTAAAACATTGTGTATGTACATGCACGCATGTGTCAGTGTGTGCATGGAATGCAGAAGACAACTTAGAACTGCTTCTGTCCTAGAAACACAGGCCATCAGGCTCTGTGGCAGGTATCTTTCTGCTGAGCTTTCTCACCGACTTCTCAGACATGCTTAAATCATCTAAATAATACTGTATAGGATACAGTATAGTCCCAGGACCAGTAATTAATTCCTTTCTACATCAGCTCTATGGATTTTATTGTTTTAATGAAATCACAGTATTCTAATTATCTCACAAAGACTTCATACAGCTACTTTAAGGAAGGCACTCAAACACTTGATCAGCCCAAAGCTCTACATACCACAGTGAACTTCTAAGTTAGCAAAGCTCCAGAACGGTCAGTCTAAGTTTTTTGGATTTTTTTTTTTTCTTCCTGAGAAGGGTCTCTAGGATTTCCTATGTAGACCAAGCTGGCTTCAGACTCCCTTAGTTATCTTGAGAGTGCTGGGATTAAAAACATACCCGGCTCTGTTTAGGTCTTATACTCACTACCATGATTTTATTCACTTGTCTGTGAAAAAAGATAAATTAGCTTTTTATCTTTCAGGATTCATGTATCCTGCCTACATTTCATTCTTTAGTGGCCTATTATTTTTTGGTCTCCTAACGTATATTTGCTTGTTAAATTATAAGCTTTTGTTTTTTTTTTGTTTTGCTTTTTTCGAGATAGGGTTGAATTTTCTTTACATCTGAATACTACTTCATTTATGTATTATGACAGTTTTGTATACATTAGAATAAAGAAGCATTCATCTGAGTAAAGATTATTTGGCTTTTGGTGTTACAGTCTCTCATACAGCTACTCAGTGCAGGTATTATACAACAGTCAGCTACTTCACATAACAAGCATAGATGTCTTCCTTTGACCACTGATGTAATTTTCTGTAACCTATTAGATGAATCACAGCCTTCTGAATGCATGGATTTAGGTAACTACTTTGAATTCAGAAACATCAATACATACTTAGTACTGAAATAAAAGCCTTACCTTTTTGATTAGCTGCAACCTGTTCTCTGACTCAGTTTCTCGATGAGATGGCGCAAGAACTTGTGGGGAAGGGCCTCTATTTTGGGAGAGGTTCTCAGGGTTATTTCTCTCTAGTAAGTGAAGCAGCTCCATCTGCCTTCTTAACTTTTTTTCTTCTTTCTCCTTTTGGAGATGGATGGGGTACCTTGCTGATGCAGGGACATACCTTTTCAGAGGCTTGTTTATATTCCAAGCGGGCTTTTTAGGACATTTCTTCATACTATGTTTTGTTTGTTTCTCTGTTCTTCTGTACTGATTACACTGGCCATTATGCCAGCTGGTTTCTTTGTCTAAATTAGTGCCTTTAGCAATACTTAGTTCTTGCTTGTCTTTTTTAGTGCTAGTATGTCCATTAAATTCTGTAGAAATCTCTGGAGAAGAAAAGTTTCTAGTGCCCCTTTCTGTTAATGATCCACAGTGTTGTAGCTCATTGTTGAAAATTCCTAAATTTAAGTCATCTAGATAAAAATTCCAAATGATTAACTTTAAATAAAACATACGGTAGAAATACACTTTTTTTCTCAAAGATACTTAATGACTTTGTCTTTATTAGTCACATTTATTTATTTAGTGCGGTGGGTGATGCCACATGTCACACACATGGGAGCCAAAGGACATCTTATAGGAGTCGGTTTTTTCTGCCATGTGAATTCCAAGGATGGAATTGAGGTCCTCAGCCTTGGTGGCAATCACCTTTACCTGTTGTGCCATTCTTCCATCCGTAAGAATTTATCCTCCAAATAAAACTATCCATTAAAGAACTGTTAATTATCCCCTTTAAAAGAAGCTGGTAACTACTATTCTGCTTTGATATTCTAGAAACTAGCCCTCATAACCAGCCCTGTGCTACACACCTGTCATTCCGGCAGAAAGGAAGCAAAGGCAAGAGGACTGGAGCGAGCTCCGCTAGCTTGGTCTACAGAGTTCCAGGCTATTCAAAAAAAATAAAAAATAAAAGTAACAGATAGGCTTATTCAAATAGTATAAAACTCTGAATTTATAACCATGTTGAACACATTGCAGAATTTCTTTATGCTTATTCCACTACATAAAACTGGCTTAATTTTGTTTATCTGCATACACACTTAGGTTGGGAGCAACCTCAAGAATGCTGCTGTGACTCCAAGTTTCTATTATTTGAGGAAGACCTGGAATTTTTCTGTGTTTTGTTTTAATTATTTTAGGTGTAAACCCCAAAATGGAATTCTGTTTTTTTGAGCAACTGCTGTACGGTTTTCTACAGCAGGTGCAGCATTCAGCCTCACCATTAACAAAGCAGTTTTAAGAATGCATTTGAGTGGCACCACAGATAACAAATGCCCTATACCAGTTATCACCATACTGTAATATGAACTCTGGCTAGTCTGGTGTGCTGAGATAATCACAAGTAACTGGCAGAAAATAGTGATGTGGTTATGTCTGTTTCCTTTAGGAAATGGGGGGGGGTGCTTTTGAGCCCCAAGAGTTAAACAAAAGGACACATGTCTAAGAAAAATCTTTTTTTTTTTTAATATTTATTTATTTATTTATTTATTATGTATACAGTATTCTATCTGTGTGTATGCCTGCAGGCCAGAAGAGGGCACCAGACCTCATTACAGATGGTTGTGAGCCACCATGTGGTTGCTGGGAATTGAACTCAGGACCTTTGGAAGAGCAGGCAGTGCTCTTAACCACTGAGCCATCTCTCCAGCCCCTAAGAAAAATCTTGAATATTCTTGAGGGACCCCCTCCCAGCACTAAAAAAAAAAAAAAAAAAGCCTTGTTAGAGGAGATTCTGCCCAGCAGAACTACATTGGAAAGTCCTGCTGTGGAGCTGTCTGCAGCTGTGCAGAACTCCAGGTTGCAGCTTTCAGGGTAGGCTCTTAGGTGACGTAGCTGCTTTGGAGTTATCCCTGATCCTCAGTAGTAACCCCTCCTGTTAGTAACCTCAATAAAACTACCTAGTTCACCAGTGGGACATTGGTGCAGCTGTCACTCTGCTCTCTGGGCTTCATTTCTGGGGTGAGATGTTGCATCTCCCCCGGAAAAGAATCAAAGATGCCTCTGCAGAACTTAAAAACTTCCAAACCAAGGAGCTGGCGGAAGAACTGGTCTGGCAGGTTAAGAGCAGTACTTCCTTTGAAGTTTGCTTCCCAGCACCTATCTACCTATAACTCCAGGAAATTGGACACTGTCTTCTGGTTTCCATGGGCACTGTATTCATTTATACACACCTATCCACCCCTATACATATATACTAAATTAAAAATCCCTTTAAAAATATTCAGGAGTGTCTTTAAAATTTAAAACCAGCATATGAAAATACATGCATTATCAGTCAGTCACTGGGGTAATGCAGATTAGAATCCAAGTTTTGCAAGGACATGGAGAGATAAGAACACTTCTACACTGCTAAGACAGATGCTTTGGATGACAGTTCACCGGCTCCCCAATACCTATCACATAACTCAGAAATTCTAACTCTTTCCTAAGAGAACAAAACATCTACAGAAAAAGTAGAAATAACTGAAATGTCCATAGATAGAATATCCAGTATAATTCACACAGTGAAGTCTAAGGAATAAATGGAATTGTGTCATAATAAAATCTACAACATAGATAAACCCATATATCATGCTCAGTAAGCCAGAAACAAAAGACCACTTTAACAGCATAATTCTGGTTACACGAAAAGTACAGAACAGGAAGAATGTTGTAGGACAGTGAGCTGGAGAGAGTAGAGGGGCCACTTATTTGTGAGTTACTCTGAGTACTGTGCTCATTTCCAGTGTGCATACACTAAAACGGGTGAGATTAGCATGGCCCCTGTGCAAGGAGGACATGCAAATTGGTGATGTATCCTGTATTTTTAAAAAGCATCTTTCATAGAAAATAAATTTGAGTACTGAAAAGGTTATAAAACTGATGGTAACTGCACAAGTATGAAGATGTTAAAGAACATCAGACACCTGGACATGGTGCACACCTTTAATTAGAGCTTAGAAGGGAGAGACAGGAAGATTTCTGAGAGTTCCAGACCAGCCTGGTCTACATAGCGAGTTCCTATGATGCACTATATTCTGGGCTCAATCCCCAGGGGCACAGTGCTACATGCCTGTAATCCCAGTGTTCCACACGTGGGGGCAGGAATATCAGTTCTAGGTCACCCTTGGCTACAAGACACCTCATTGCAAAGATGTCTTTACTTTAAATGTGAAACAGAACAATAAAGCCCTCCATGAATACCTGTCTGCACGCCAATGTCCGTCCTGGGAGAGTTTGTGGAAGGGGTAGCTGCACGGGTTTCTTCAGCAGCCTCCTCAGCATCTCTTCCTGAACTGGAAATGGTAGTGCACGCCTTATAATCCACTATTGCTGTGTTAAATGGCAATGAGAAACAGACCTTAAAATGACACGCAGAGCACTAACACTCCAGCTGCTGACAGTGTCTGCCTAGCACAAAAGGCCCTGGGAAAGTAGAGCAGCAGTCAAAGACTTTTTTACCCAACTGTCAGAAACTGTAGTCAAATTTTTGAAAGGCTAGTCTTACAGTGTAGCCTAAATTTATTATTAAAAGTTACCTATATTCTTAGACCTTGCTGAATTTGAAAATCTAAGGATGGAAAAGTGCACATTTTACCTATGTCAGGATTACTATGAAAATTTCTATGAAAAAGATTGCAACATGTACTGTTTTAGGGCAGTTTTCTCAAGGTGGTTGGGCGAAAAGCTTCCATTCCTTTAAAAATATTTAATTAATGTGTGTTTTTAAGGATTTAAAGTAGACAAGTATTTAAAATCATCCTCAGAACCAAAACTATCAATACAATTCTAATTAGTCACTTACTGCCAAGATTTTTAATCAGCCTGGATGTGTCATGTCCTTTCTGAGTCAGTTCTCGGATCCTCTGCTCCTGTTTCAGTCTCTGCGCCAACTCCTGAGCGCGCTGCATGGTGTGGAACAGCTGATTTGTCTTTAGAGTCATGATTTCCTAGCAAGATTGACGTATCCAGTAAGAGTTAGCAAGCACATTCAGTGAAGTGACTGGTCACATTCAGTACAAACACTCAAGCTTCCCCTACAGAGAGGGTGCTGGGATAGGTATCAGCTGAGGAACAGTCATTAGGGCCTGTTAGCAATTCTAATTCTAACATGCCTGTTCTTGCTATTAGACAGGGTCTCACTGTAAACCAGGCTGCCCCTGAACTCCCAAACGTTGAATTACAGGTGTGTACCACCACTATGCCACCTGTCTCAGCCTAGTCCATGAAACTGGGGTGCAAACCATACCTTTCCACATCCTACTTTTGAAAGGTACAAAGTAGAAACTGGCAAGAAAGTGCAGACCTGGGTGTTTTTACCACTGACAACTGAAACAGCACCGGATGCTCTCTCTGCTCTTCTATCTGGTCAGCTCAGACACAGCACTGGACTACCCTACCTGCTCAGCCCAATGGAAGCCTCTAACACAGTCAGGAACTTCTTCAGCAATCCCAGCCAATCATTACTCTTTTTTAATATCTAGAATCATTATTACTTTTGATTTATTTAGGGGTGAGGAGGTGGTAATGTTTGTACCACAGTGTGTATATGGAGGTCATAAGTCAGCTTTCCAAATCCTTTCTTGGGACATGTGTTCCAGGTACTGGTGGTGAACACGCCTTACCTGCTGAGCCGGGCTCTATGTATCTGCTATCCAGATAATAATGAAGCTTGGTGCTGCGCTCACCCTGAGCACCCCCCATTAACATGCCAAGCGTGCAGCATCTGAGACGTGGACCATATGAGGAGTGCTCCCTCAAATGGGAGCACTGTCAGGCCTCCCTTTCTTTAGCTGTAATGTTTCCGCATGTAGCTGTACAATTCAAAATGTGCAGACCCCCAGCCTCTTCCTTACATCCACAATACAAGTACCTACTTCTTTCTGTTTCTGCTTCAGAATGTCCTCTTCGTATTGCCTCTGCATCTCCTCCCGTTCCCGAGCCAAGCGCTGCTCCTCTTCCTGCTCTTCCTTCTTTCTTTGTTCTTCTTCCTGTTGCTTCTTCCTGCGGTTCTCTTCTACCTGAGCCATGATTGCTTTCTAGTCAGAAGTAAATACAAGTTACTCTCACAAATAAAAATTTATGTAGTGCTGGATTTGATGATAACATAATTTATCAGTTAGACACACAATGGAGGGTGGGGATAATTGTGCTTCCTAGCATGTACATCACAAAAAAGAATCAACTAAAGGAATTACCTCACTACTCGCCACACTGACTAATAAATGGGAGATACTCTCAGCTTTGTACTGTGATCAAAAAAGAAAATTAACTGGGCCAAATTACTCACAAAACATTCAAAAGAATTGCTGAACCTGGGCACAGCGATGCATGCTGAGTGCCTAACTGTACTGGGCACAGAGTGTAGTGATATTTCATTTGTATTTTAATAAATGAAGCTTGCCTGAAGATCTGAGAGTAGAACAGCCCCACTGGTCAGCCATACAGACCAGGCAGTTGTGACACACACCTTTAATCCCAGTAGCCACACTAGTTGCCATAGAAACTGAGTGGTGCATGTGTTTAATCCCAGCCCTAGAAAGGATTTTAAAATGAGAGGAGACAGCTCTCAGGCACAGTCTCATTCTGAGATTCTTAGAGGCAGGATCGCCATTTTCAGACCAAGGTCAAGGTCTGACCTTCAGATTTAACTCCAATTTCTCTCTCTGAGTTTTTATTAATCGTGCTGAATATCTGTGGCCCCTGCTACTCAGAAGACTAGGTAAGAAAATGTTTGAGCCACATCTGAGCAACATGGCTCATTTCAACATCAAACTCTTCAGAGAAAAGAGAACCATAAAACCTTAGATCATGAAATGTCTCTAACATCAGCCTGAAGAGTTTTAATCTTACCCTTATATTACCTACTAGATTGCTTAATCAGACATCTACTTTGATTTTTTTTTTTTTTTGGTATGTTTTCTTTCAAAAACCCAAATGGAACTCTGAGGGAGTAGCTAATATTTAATAATAGTTCAAAGTCATGTATACAACATACTCATTTAATAGATCCGCCAGAAGGCAGGATGCATGACAATAATACTGTCTGGTCCTCAGCCCAAGCTTATTTCTAATAGTATACCAGTTGTGTTAAGAGACTGGATTGACAGCAGGATATAACTGAACCCAAGCTGAAAATCGGGATTTGGGAGGTGGAGATCAAGAATTCAAGACCAGCCTTGGCTACATAGCAAATTCAAGACCAGCCTGAGCTACATTCAAGCTTCTCTTGGGGAAAAAAATACTCAGTTTTCCATTTACTTTAAGTGTGTGCTGGCCATCTAAGGCAAAGAACACTGTTTTACAACGTGAGGCACAGTATGCAAACACCAAATGCTTCGGTGTGATACCTGATGCTCTAATTGTTTGTGCCGGCGTTTTTCCCGCTCCTCAATCTGTGCTGGGTCCAAGAGCGCAGTCATAGAACGGAGAAAGCTGTGAAACACACATTATTCATTCAGAATTGCCAGAAAGGTTAACCATTTTTTGCTTAAGCTACATCTTTAATCACTTCCATTTCAAAGAAAAATGCCAAGCAGAAACTAACTGGACATAGTGACAGTTCTAGTCAAATATACTTTCTGAAGACTAAACGCTAGATGTCAACTTACTTTGTTTTCTGACTGTATGACACACTCATATCCGTAACAGGTTTGGCTCTCTGTTCTTCTGAAGGTTCCAGCTGGATGGCAAGTGAAGGTGTGTAAACACTGTGGACATCAGCCAGCTCCTGAGTGTCAGGAGAGACACAACAGGACTCCAGGGGTTGGTGTGTCCGCTGACAGGACAGCTGAGATTGAGAGCCAGCATGGGTCTTTAAGGAATCAAAGTGCACTGCCCATCTGTCATGTTCCTCATCCTGATAGTGACAAATGAGAAACACCCAGAACTTTCTCAACTGCTCCCGTACAAAATTAGAAACGAAAACAGTGGCGGCTGGAGAGAGAGCTGCTCTTCCAAGAAGAGATCTGGCTTTAGTTTCCAGCACCTGCATGGCAGCTGGCAATTGCCAGTTACTCTAGTTCCAGGGGACCCTAACTCTCATCTGGCCTCCTTGGCCACTATACACATGCAGGACAGACATATCTGCAGGCAGAGCACCTATTCAAATTTTAAAAAAAGTGAATAAAATCTCAAAAAGAAGTAGTTTATGCATCATAAAAACTGACAAATTGTATTTTTTAATTCTTTATATAATTAGGTAACTATCTTGAGAATTTTTTTAAAATTCATTTCTAAAGTTTTTTTTTATTTATTTACTTTTATTCTATGTGCATTGGTGTTTTGCCTGCAGGTAAGTCTGTGTGAAAGAGTCAAATCTTGGAGTTGTTAGCTGCCATGTGGGTGCTGGGACTTGAACCTGGGTCCTTTGGGAAAGTAGTCAGTGCCCCACACCAAACTAAATGCATTCTATGAAAGGTTTTATAAGGATGTTTAACTTGCCAAATCATTTCACAACATGCTTAAGTTTGTAAGTATTTGGAATCTTACAAACTTCCTGAGTCACCTCTGAACATATCATTTCCCTTCTGTTTTCCTTGGCTGGCCGTCTACTTGTTTACTCAAGTCTGCAGCCCATTTCCTCTGCTGCTCCCGTCTGGCAGAGCTGCAAGGATACTCCAGCAGTCCTGCTTCCTAAGGAAGTCAGTCAGGCCGCGACAGGGTCATCTTAGCGGGGTATTCACTCAGATCTAACCCAGGAAGGCATTTTTCCGTGGGAGAAGCAATGCTGATAAGCAAAGAATCTGCTCATAGCACTAAGGAGACACACTCTGACCCTCAGAATTGCATATTAAACATTTTCTGGTAGACAGTGTAAAACATCTAGGTACACAGAAAGAAAATGTTGTATTTACTTGATTCTTCATTTAAAACAGCCTATAAAAATGCAATTTTTGGAAAGAATATTCTGGCAACTGAGTAGATCTTCCAAGAATAAAAGCAATACAACAACTAACATTCCATCCTGCTTCACACACACTCGCTCAGTAATGTTCACAGAACCAGGAAATGGAGCCAGCTGCTGGCTGCTGGGCAATGAAGTATGGACAGCTACACAACGAAATATAATTCAGCTGTTAAAGGAAAGAGAAAGAAATTTTGAATCATGAAATGTACAGGTAAATGGATGAACTAGAAAATATGCTGACACAGAAGACAAATGCTGAATAGCCTCGCCCACGGCTCCTAGTTCCAAGTCTTCAGATGTCTCAACCTGCATACCAGATACTTAGTTATGATCTGTAACAGTAGCAAGATTTGTTATGAAGTAGCAACAAAATAATTTTATGGTTGGGGGTCACCAAAACATGAAGAACTGTATTAAAGGGTCAGAGCATTAGGAAGGTTGAGAACCACTGTCCTAGAGAAACTTCAGAAACCAGGAAAGAAAATGGGATGTGGGGTGGGGTGAGGGGTTCTCTAGTGAGAATGGCAGGAAATACATAGGGAAAAGGGGAAGGGGCTTCTACTGGGGCATAGGAGGAGGGAAAGCAATACGGAAGGAGATGGAGGAGGGATAAATAATAAGAATGCTTAAAGATGACAGGAGTTATTTAATAATAATTTAGTAATATTAAGTATTATTTTATGTTTACCTGAAATTACATCTAAGTGTATATGTATACAAATGTATATAGTTTAAATGAAATTACACCATTTGGGTCATTGTACCTCCACCAAGAACCATAGACTATCTAGCAAAACTCCTAAGCCAACCACGAGAAACCTTTCAAGTTGCTGGTGAGAAGAGTGCAAGAGGCTCCCAAAACAAGATAGGGTATTTCTAGTCAGTAAGTCCATCTTGCTGAAGACACCACATCCTTAGAGGGCCAGAGCATCCTTCCTGCAGACTAGCTGTCATAGCACAGGAGGGCAGGGAGGAAGCAACCAGTAGTCCCGTCCAGCTGTGATGCCCAACAGTGACCAGCATACGGGACAACAGTGGCACTCATATCTTGGCAGTAATCAATGCTGTCTAACTGAACTCAAGGAAGGTCTGCTTAATAGAAGGGAAATCATGCTTGCTTCTGTAAACCTAGTCAGCTACATTATGGCTAATGAGATCCTGGGCCTTAGGAAACCTACAACTATCAGTTCCCTAAACCAGTGTAGTTCCTAGCTGTAGTCTAAATACTTACCCTTATACTCACAGGTAAATACAGACCTCACCTCTCATCAAAGAAGCTTCTTTTTGTAGCAGCAGCAGCAGCAGCAAATCATTATAGAAAGACACGACTTGCCAAAGGCCTAAGTGTACTCTACAACACAAGACCTACATCTATGGCTCAGAGAACCTCACAGAAGAGGAGATAGAAAGACTTTTAGAGCCAAAGGAGCAGAAAGTCTGCCTGTGAGTGTGTCTTCTAGCTATGACAGAGAAGCTACAACCAAGAAATCGCAACACGGCTGCCTAAAGAAGACATGAACAACAGTCAACGTCCCAATGTAGATGGGGAACTCTTGAGGCCCCATCCATAGATGAAGACCTACGAGCCAAATGGGGGAGAATTAGTCTTCCCCAGGGATGAGGCCCCTGGTTACTCAATACCAAGTGCTCAGTCCTTGAAACACGTACATGTGGGCAACACTGAACTGACTCAGTGGGTTTTATCTCTAAATGTATTTGTCTATATGTGCGTGCAATAGCAATGGATAAAGAAGAGAAGACTCTGAAGTTGGTACAGGAGCAGGACAGGAGAGGGGAATGATGTAATTTTAATTAAATTTTTAAAAATATTTTCAATTAAAAATCACTTAAACCGTGACTCCGAATTTTAGCATACAGTTCAAATTCCTAGTTTTTCACATTCTTTACCACGCTTAGAGTTGTATCTACCCAGAATCTTCGGCCAAATCAAAAAATATAAATATTCTAGTGCTGTCCTTCATCTAGACATGTAATTTAAGAGCAAAATGATTTTATCAAATCAGTTTCCTCTGGGAATGGGTGTGGGATAGGGAGAGATCATCCACAAGTGTTGTTTATTCCTCAGACCCCATCCATCTTGCTTTTGTACGCAGGGCTTTCTCACTGCAACCTGAGGCAGGTTAGGCTGATGGCCAGCAAGCCTAGGGATCTGCTGTCTCCACGTCTCCAGTACTGGGTCACAAGCCTGCACCCCTACTCAGGCCCTCTTGGCTCTGCTGTTTATTCAGCCCCACTATTCTTCTTTTGAAGATCTTTTTAAATAAACATCAATTTTTATTTATTTTTATTGGAGGGGGGAATGAGACAGGGTTTCTCTGTGTAACAGCCCTAGCTATCCTGAAACTAGCTCTGTAGACCAGGCTGGTCTTGAACTCACAGAGATCCACCTGCCTCTGCCTCCTGAGTGCTGGGATTAAAGGTGTGCGCTACTGCTGCCCTGTTGAAATATTAATCTTAATTTAGACTTTTTTTTTGAGACAGGTTTTCTCTGTATAACCTTGACTGTCCTGGAACACACTCTGTAGACCAGACTAGCCTCAGACTCACAGAGATCCACCTGCTTCTGCCTCCGAGTTCTGGGATTAAAGGTGTGTGCCACAACCATCTAGTTTAATCTAGCCTTTTTGATTAAGTTTATTTCTACAAGTAGCATTAGTTTGTGAATATTAACTCTAGTTTGCATTCCTTGGATAAATCCTACTCTCCATATTATTCTTTGTAATTTTTCCAAGGTTTCTAGTCGAGTTTTAACATCAAAAGTGTTTTGTTGGTCTTGGTTATCAAGATCACTAGCTCAACACTGCACTAAAAACCTTCCTATTCCAAAGGTCTTGAGTTCAATTCCCAGCAACCACATGGTGGCTCACAACCCAACCATCTGTAATGAGGTCTGGTGCCCTCTTCTGGCCTGCAGACATACACACAGAATATTGTATACATAATAAATAAACAAACAAACAAACAACAAAACCTTCCTATTGTAAATACATCTGGGCCCGGAATTTACTTTGCTGGGGTTCCCCTCTTTCCCTTCTTAATCTTTGGCTTGAGATAAGGTCTCACTACATTGTAGCTCAGGCTACCCTCAAACTTATGACCTCCAGCCTCAGCTTCCTGAATATGGACACTTTGAATGATGGATTCAATTTCTTCAGAAGCATATTACCACTTGATCCCTGTTTCTCTGGCCATTTTTTCTCAAAATTCTCTAATATGCTGGCATAAGGTTTTAAGATTTTTAGCTGGGTAGTGGTGGTGCATGCCTTTAATTCTAGCACTTGGGAGGCAGAGATAGGCGGATCTCTGTGAGTTCGAGGCTAGCCTGGGCTACAAAAGCTAGTTCCAGGACAGGCAAAGATTTTTATTATTTTTAATTTCATGTATGTGTAGGTATGTGCATGGGAGCAGGTTCCCACAGAAGAGTTCCAAAGCAGAGTGTCGGATGCCCAGGGGCTGGAGTTGAAGACACGGTAAGCTACCCAGGATAGACACTGGGAATTGAACTCAGTCCTCCTTATGAGCACTATGTACTCTTAATCACTGGGCTATCTCTCCAGCACCAGTTGTTATTTTTAATTAATTAATTGTTTTTTGAGTCATGGTTTCTCTATGTAACAGTCTTGGATGTTCTTGGAACTCAACTATGTAGACCAGGCTGGCCTTGAACTTGCAGAGATCCGCCTGCCTCTGCTTTCTGAGTGCTCGGATCTGAGTGTTCTTAATGTCCTCTTATTTTTTTTTTTTTAAACGTTCATACGCTCTACATCCTTTTGAATTTAGGCTAGTCTTCTGAGGAGCTTACATACAGTCTGGAGAGTGTTGTGTCAATGTGACAACACAAGACAGTTACCTAAGAGGAGGCACCTCAAGGGAAAACACGCCCCTCTAGAATCCATTAGTGATCAGTGGGTGAAAGCCCAGCCCATGGT